CAAACGACGACAATGATGATGATGATGATGATGAAAACAATAAACATGTCATCAACAGTGAGATACATATGTATTGAAAGTGACAGAGAAATTCATTTTTGGCTATCTGTAGATTTGTTCCTATGATGATGATTTTGACTTTTTAAAAGACGGTTATGGCCACTCGATATTGCTTGTTTGCCTACCATTTATAAAGATCAAATCATAAGTGTCTAGATGGGTAAATTGTGGCCATATGTGTGTGTGTGTGTGTTTAGTGGAACTTAATGGAACCAATGTTTGTTTGTTTGTTGAATCCAATATTATTAATGGATTATGATTTTGTTTAACAAAACAAAAAAAACTGATTATATCATTTCCGTCGTCTGAATTTTTTCTTCTTTGCAATTTTGCATATGGCAAACATTCAAACATTTAAATCAAAACATAAAGGTCAAAAACGATAATAGGATCACAGAAGAAAGTGAAGGAAAGAATCTTTTAAAATCAAAATCTGCAAAACAGAAAACATCCTGATAAAACTATAGACGGAAGGAAATGATGATGATGATGATGCTATGCATTTCGAATGTTTTTTTTTGTTTGAAAAAAAACAAGAAGCTCTTGAACATCATCTACTTTCGCAAAAACAACTTGTCATTATTATTATTGTTGTTTTTTTTCTACCTGAAAAATCATTGATGCAAAACAAAATCTAACCAAAAGTTTGTTTTTTTTTTGTTTTGTTTTGGCTGATCTACCGATCATTATCATTATCATCATTATTATTATTATTGATGACGACATGGTCTCACACATACATCAGACAGACATTCTTTGGCATCCAAATTTCCTGTTGTTTGGTTGATATTCACTTTCATTACCTTTGAAAACACACACACCAACCATACCATCGTTGACCTGACTTTATTATCATCTGAGCCTTGAGGGTAGAAATTCTTTTCTTAATAATAATAATAAGTGGTGGTGGTGGTGTTGTTGATGGTGTTTGGTGTTTGTCATCACCATGTGGGCAATCACCGTAGTTGGGTTTTTGTCGCCTGGCAAAAAGGCCATAGGTCATTATCATCATCATCACATCAATTGTGTTATGGATGAGCTTCCGATCAATTATTTTCTCCGGCTCCTATGTCTGTCTCTATATTTCTTTGTCTGATGTTCGATCTCAGAATGATTGGACAAAAAAAAATCAATAAATTTCAATCGAAAAAAAAACATTCATTCGCAATGATGGTTGTGGAATTCAAGAAATGTCCTAATTTATGTTTGCTTGTGTGATAACAACCAAACAAAAAGAAAAAATTTTCAAATCACTAACTGAAATAACGATATAATGATGAAATAAAATGAAATTAATTAATTAATCAGCACCAAATCAGGTCTTCGTTGATGATGATGATGATGATGATGTCATGATCAAAGATTTATTTATTTGCGAGAAGGGATGGATGGATGGATGATGACATAGTAAATCAAATGATACGTCGTTTTTTTTTGGTCTAGGCTTTTTTCCATCGTGTTTACCAAAAGATTCATTCACATTGCCATGACTGAACGACGACCTGGATTTTATTTATTTCAACGATTTTTTTCCATTTTCGTTTCTTGAATTGAAATTTATATTTCTTTTCGTTAAAGCAATGATGATGATAATTCATTCATTGACGACATTCATTCATTTAGTGATTGAATGAAAGAATTTTTTTTTCTATTTTGAAGATGCCCTATCTTACACCTGGGATGACAGATATCGACGATGATGATGATCAATATGAATAAAGATGTTGTGTTTTATAAAGTGAATGAATGCAATTCAAGAATTATGAACCATTCAGCCAGCCAGTCAGCCAAAAATAATAAAGAATGCCGCTTTTTCTGCCATCATGATCAAAATCATACCTAGCCATTGAAAATTGATTTGAATTCGGGATAAAAAAAAGTTATCTTTGTTTTTGATGATGATGATGATCATGAATAATGAACAGAGCCGATTCAGAGATACATGTTATGTAATGCAATGTGTGTGTGTATGGCACACCTTAAAATAATAGGTTAGCCAAATATAGTCATGATAAAGATAAACTTCAAATAAAATGTATGGCCCCAATATAATGTTTGATGATTCGATCATCCGGTTTTTTTTCGTTCTGTTGTTTGAATGCCATGATCATTGATCATTGATGATGGTGATGATAATAATTAAACCATTTTCGTTTTGCTTCGTTTCAAATCGATATATCGATAAATTGACGTATCATTATTATTATTATTATGTTAAAATAGTACAGAATGCTGTCAAAAAGATTTAGTTATACTTGGCTTGTCAGATATCAATGAAACAGATATGGCATATGTGTGACAGACATTCATTCTCCGTTATCTTAATCATTGTTCGTTTCGATTTCAATATTATCCACACAATCGAATGTAGAGATACTTGAAAAAGGAGACATTTTTTCTTCTTCTTCTTCTTCGATCAATCAATCGAACAACCAAAATTTTCATTGATAACTTTTTTCTATGCTAAAACCAAAAATGGCTAGAAAAACATCTATGTAATGATTTTTTGTTTGTTTTAGTTTTGTTATAACAAACAACAACCATCAAACAACAACAATCAATATTGTAAAATGTCATAAAAATCATTGTTGTGTTTATGGCTTGTTCATTCGGATCGTTTGCATTTTGTTTGGTGCGGCCATTATATGTCGAACAACCATCACAAACAACGATCGAATTGAATTGATGAAAAATCAACAACAACAACAACAACAAAAAGAACGAGAAAATTTCCATAAAAAAAACTGATTGCCCGAATCCGTCATTATCATCATCATCAAAATAATAAAATGTAGCAAAGATTTTTTTAAATAATATCCTCCTTTTGTATATTTATATTCAGGAGTGGCAGGGCAATTGTCGATCAATTTTCAATCATTCGGTTCGATTGTTGTTCGACAATTTTTTCATCGTTGTTGTTGTTGTTGTTTTTTATGACATATGAAAAACGTATTCATTCAGTCAGTTTTTGAATTGAATTGGTCATTTCAATTCAAATAATGATTATATCATCACAACGTGTGTTGTTGTTGTTTGGGTGAAAATTGATACTGTTCATTTCAATAATGATGATTATTTTGCCAAAAAAAACTCGGCTTGTTTACCTGTAATAAAAGTTCAATAAAATGGGAAACCATACTTGTTATATATTTGATTTTTACCTTTTTTTTCAATAAAAAAGGATGATAATGATGATAAAGGTTGGGTCATCACTCCATATGAGTTTATGGTTGTTTTTTTTTGTACAAACATCTTGATGATGATGAAGCATTTCAATTAATCAAATCTATTTTTTTTGGCTCACTGTGGAATTCACGAATAATATTTGCATTTGGCGTTTACTTTTTGCCTTTTTTTCAATTTTCCATCCATCAACAATTCAATGATGGTCAACCATTGTCAATACACATTGAAAACATCATAATGATCAACTGCAGGGTTGTTGCAGGTGTTTTGTTTGTTTATGGAGAATATTTAGAGCAAAACCAAACCATTATGATGATGATGTGGATGCATTTTACAATAAAATATTTTCTTGCGAATGAAAGTCTAATGTCATCATCATCATCATCATTTATAAATGGAAAATGTGAAAATGAATCAAGTCACGATTTTGCACCATCATCATCATGATGATGATCATCATATAAATTCATTTAAGCATTTGATCATGATGATTTCGGTGTCCAAGTTAATTATGATCAAAAGAAAAAAGAAAAGAGAAAAAATTTACATAAATCATTCTTACCCATCATCATCATTGTTCATCGAAAAGCTTTTCGCCAAATGATTAATTAATTTTGATTTGATTTGATTCGTACCATTTTTTTTGATGATTTAAGGATAGTATGCGAGCATTGTTTTCAAATTTTCTTTTGAATTCAATTCAATCGATTCAATTCGATTGAATTTAATCGAATTGTTCATTTTTTTGTAACCCATTCAGGTTATTTTAAATAATTCGTTACGATTGATCGATCGATAGATCAACAAATCCATAAATGGATGACATCATCAAAATGAAAAAAGAACAATAAAGAAAATAATGACAAAACGATTTTGCATTAATGATAATGATCTAGATTTTGGCCATTCATTCATTATAAAATGATTGGCCTATCATCATTACCATCATCATCATTATTATTATGATCTATACCGGACTAGAGTTCATTCATTCATTAAGGGTTAATGTTTGGCCTCGATGTCAACTTTTTTTCTTCAACAATAATATTGAGTTGGAAACCTCTATCATCATCATGATATCACGATTCGTATTCGAATCACCTGTTTAAAGTATGTGTTTACGACCAAGATTTTTCCTGTGTCTGTTTAAGGATTTTTTTTCGTTTTGTTTTGTCGCTTCAAATAACTATCATCATGTTTTTCATTTCATCATAATCGACAATGTCAGTTCATGATGATGATGAAAATGATCTTTTTTCAAAAAAAACCACACACACAGTGCCGGTCGAAATGTTTCCTTTTTCTCTTGATTTTGATTATGAATGACGATGATTGGTATGGTCGTTATTCAGGTATATAGTCTATATAAGAAATAAAAAATATGAAAATATTTTTCCTTTTAGACACACACACACACACACACACACACACACAACAATCAACAATAAAAAACAAACCTTTTCCATATAAAAAAATATTGATTTCAATTCAAAAAGGGTTGAGAATGTTTGTTTGTTCGTTAGAATCGTAAAGATGTTTATGTTTCTTTTTCTTCTTCTTTGAAATAATAAAATCTGTTTGAAATCTGGCCATCTGGCTTGATTTTGTGACCATGGTTATTTTTTGTCTGGTAAAACAACAACAACAACGTAAACATTAGAATCATAAATTTTTACAGACAAAAAAAAATATGATTTGTTTCTATATTTTACTAACTTTGATTTTTCTTTTTCTTTTCTTCGTTTAACATACAGGAATAACGCAAGCTTGTTATTTTCCCATTGAATATCAGGGAACATTCTTGATACAAACACAAGGATTAATTACACCACAAATCATTGATAATTCTCAATCGGGAACCACCAATCAATCATCGGTTACATATTCTGAAGTAATAATCGAAGCTGATGCTATACAACCATGGGGACGTTGTCATAAACGACGTGGTAATAATGTTATATTAAAAGATAGTACCGGTGCTGGTCAAGATTGTCTTCGTTGTTTTCATATATCAATGAAAACATCCAATGTTATATCATTACATAGTGATGGTTTAGAACGTTGTTATACAAATGAAGAAGCAGCACGTGCTACATGTCCATTAGATAAAGATATTGGCCAACAACAAAAACGTAAATTTAAAGAAATTATTCTATTCCGTAAGTATACCATTATCATCAAAGTAAAATTTTGCTCATTTCATTGCAATCTGAATCAGATCTGATTGAGAAAAATAAATAAATTTTCAAATAAACTTATTCAATGATCGCACATACAATACTCACTTATTCGCTGATTTATAAGACTAATCTTTTTTTTCTAAGTTTTTTTTCCGGCCAAACATTTTTATTTTTGCCAATGTAATAATTCACTTCTTCTTAGACGGTCAAAAACGGTCAGCATCAAGAAAAAAAGATGGAAAAAAAATTTTCATTGGAATTTCTGTTTTTTTTTCTGCTAAATAAAATATATTAAAAAACAAATTAGATAAGAAGTTGAGGTAAAAAAAAGGGAAAAAAGGGAAAAACATTGATTTTCAAACTTACTTGCATCGGCATTCATTTTTATATTCGCAGGGATCGGTGTTTGAGCTTGATTTAGATTTTTCGGTTTTTTTTCACTGAAAAAAAATAAATAAAAATAAAAAATTATTATCATTATTATTCATTTTATCTGCTAAAATAGATGCTTTTTTTTGTTGGTATGTTTTGTATACTCGAAATGATGATGATGATGATGATCTTAATATTTATTTATGGTGGCTGATGATGATAAAAAAATATTCAACTTTCAAAAAATTTTTATTCATTCATTCCGGATAGGTAGTCTTTTTCTCTCTTGTTATGTCGGTTAATTTAATAAAGTTATTTACCTTGTTTGTTTGTTTCAAATGTTGATGATACTGGCCATCATATAACCAAAAAAAAAATCATAATAATAATAATAATAATCATAAATTATCGATTAAAATCATCAGTATCAGATATATACACAGAGACATACCGGTAACTGGTCGATCATTATCGTTATCATCATTATTTGTTGATCTTATCAAAACACTGAATAGAAAAACGATACCATTTCGAATGTTTTTTTTTGTTCTGTTGTCATTCGAACGAATTTTCGCATAGGAACCTAATGTTGTTGCTGTTGTTGTTGACAATCGATATCAACAATCGATATCTACAATCGATATTTTTTATTCTTAAAATTATTTTCGATATTTATCTTTGTTTTGAAATCTAATTTGTTTATTTTTATTTTTTTTTGTTATCTAAACATCAATTCTCACCAAAAAACAAAACAAAACAAACCATATAGGTAAACATGTTCCAGGTGGTTTACAATCAATCGAACATGTATTCTGTCCGTTTAATGGTAGATTTCGTTTTTCCTATGTTGGTTCATCAAATCAACAACAACCAAATCAACCACAAATGCGTTGTGAATTTGGTTATTCCGAAATGTCAAATTGTCCACATGGTAATGCATTGAATGTTAAATTTCGTAAATGTTCATTTCAAACAATGGGTAAGTTTATTGCTTTTAAAAAAATTTCTGCTAAACTAAATTCATTGTTTCCTTGATTTCTGAAGACATTCACTTTCTATGTTTGGGTGATTGGCCAGTAACAACATCCACATCCATCGCCAGTTCCACCTCGACCACCACCACTGCCGGAAATTCGGGAATAAATTCCAATGAACGTTATTTAGCATTGATGGATTTACGTGAAGCACCTGAAGCAAATCGTCCAAAATATCGTTGTGGTGTAAGTTTTTCGTTTTTTGTTTATTTTTGCTTTATCAGATTAGCTTTTTTCCCTTAAATATCCATTATCATTCACCAAAATCATCGCCTACACACTCAACATTTTTGTCTCGAAAATTTTCGTCTAGAAAATTTCGTTTTTTGAAAAAAAATCAGATCAATTTCAATATCGAATCGAACGAAAGTCTGTTTCCTTGTCAAAAATATTTTTCCAATTTTTTTGTGTGTGTGATCGGTATGTGTGTGGGATGTGAAATGAAAATGATTTTCTGCATTCGACATCATTTAGGCCACACACAAGAAAAGAATTCAAAAGAAAAAACAAGGAATGCTGATGATGATTGTTGTTGTTGTTGTAACAAAAAAAAAACATCAAATAATCAAATGCCGACAACAACAACAACAACAACAAAGACGACTACGATCATTATATAACATCGACAATAAGTTGCCAAATTCAAAAACAACAACCAAACAACCCAATTTTTTGAAATGAAAATAGAATTGAATGGCCATTCCTTTTAGTTTAGTTTATTGTTTGGTTTCGTCGTGCAATTTTGTTCTGGTTGTTTTGTTTGGCTGAATGAATTGGTTTGGTTTGGTTCCGCTTGTTGATGTAGCTAATTTTTTTGCCTTCTCCTTCTCCGATCTCCGATCATCATCATCATTTTCACAATCAAAGTCTATTGTCTGTTGATAATGTCGGTGATGATGATGTTACATTATTATCATTTGAAAATCGTGTGCTAGTTGATAGTCTGAATTGAATCAGATTCGATTCAAGGAAACAGAAAAATTAAATATCATTTTTTCTCGAATTTGTTTGCTGTTTGCTGCTTTGTTTAGTTTAGTTTAGCTTGGATATTACCTCCGCCCGGTCCATTTTGTTAAATTTTTCTCGAATCAAATCAAATCAAACAACAAAAAGAGATGCTTGTTTTGGTTATTCTATATTCAAAAACACAGCCAAAACACAAAACACGAAAATCGTCTAGGTCAGCAAAATATCGATTGTTATGTCATGTCAATGTCGATGTCGATGAGGTTATGTAAGTGATGGACGAATCAAAGAAAAAAAAATTATAATGTAAATTCTTCTATTCATCCATCAAATCAAATAGAAACATGAATCTTTTCTTTTGAATCTAGATAAAGATTGATAAGATAAACGATAATTATCTAGGATAGTTATCCACTATTTAAAGCATATAACAAGCGAATAGAATTGAATTTTTAAAATGTCTTAAACGAGGAAGGATGATACTTTGTTCGTGAATTTTTTTTTCGAATGAATTGAATTGAGTTTTCACTGTCCATCCCCCTGAATACAAATCAATTTGTTATTCTGTTTCTGTTTTCGCTGTTTTTTCATTCTTTTTCGATTGTTTGATGGGAAGAAATTTCAAATGTTTCATTTTTCTCTGTTTTGTTTTGTTTTTTCTTTTTCAAATGTTTAGCTTTACAGAGAAGATCCTCTGACTGGTCAAATAACCGTATCATTATCATCCGATTCAACATGTACAAATCAATTAACAAATTCATCGGTTGGTTATGAATCATTAATATTATCACCATGTATGTAGTCAATTCTTTTGAAAAAAAACCTGATTTAAATCAATCGATTTCTAATCTGTTAATGTTGTATTCTATAATGATAATTTCCCGAATAGTACCAAATAAACGTATACCACCAATGGTTGAATCATCGAAATGTCGTTTCCCGGATTGGATGCAAGGACGTTGGCAACGAACCAAAGTTGATAATCAACAATTCATTTATAAAGATGCACAAAATCAATTTCGAACGATACGGTCACGTTGTATACAACGACAAATTGATCAAGCTAATGATCGTTTTATTGTTCATTCTATTACTCAATGGTAAAGATACTTGCTTAACTTTACTTTCTTGCACATTTGGCTAATGATGATTTGGTTTTTCCTTTTTCCTTTTTCCTTTTCATTTCCACAACATAGTGGTGAACAATCATTTAGTTGTTTATGGGTAAAACGTCGTTCACCAAATATAATGGAATTTAAATTTTCAGATAAAAGTAGTTCAATAATGAATGATAAATTATGTGATGATAGAAATTTTCTTGTAAATCCATGGATTACTGAAGGAAGTATGTGTTTTTCAATCAATATTTCACAATTGTTTCCATTTGCTAAATCATCATTTTTTCTTTTTTCTTTTCCATTTTTTTTCCAGAAGAAAAAATTGTTGCCCAATCCACTCCATGTCCAATAACGGGTGATTATACTGGTGAAGTACCCGGCGCAAGTGGTCTTTGTGCAAAAGTTGCATCCGATTGTAATAATCCGGATATTATGTTTTATAGTGTTAGTAGTTGTGAAAATCGTTCACATGTTTATGAAGGTAAGTTCATCAATTTTTTCTTCCAATTTTTGCTTTTTTCGAAATAATATCCATTCAAAAAAGAAAGCCAGAGAGAGAGAGAGAGGAATGAAGAACCGAGAGTTCTTGGTTTGATCTTCAACAACCTTGAGAGATTTAGTGATGATTTTTAGTAAGAAAAAATTCCAAGTTATGTCATGCATATCGTCTATTAATGGTTTGTTTTACCTTGGTTGTTGTTGTTGTTGTTGGTCGAATCAAAATTCAAACAACAACAACAACCATAACAACATCAACAACAACAACAACGATGATCATCATCATCATGATGGAAATGATTCTCTGCTCAAGCGAATCGATCCTGTCCAGGTCTAGTCATCAGGTAAAGCAAAGCAAAGGTTGTTGTGCGTCTTAGGATTGATCCAACCGACCATTATTCTACCAGTTTTTTTTAACACTTGATACACTTGGTTGAACATGAGTTATCTAAGTTTTTTTCCCTTAAAAAAACGATGATGATGATCAGATTTTTTCAGTTGTTGATTCCAAGTTTGAAGAAAATTATTTTATTTTGGTTGAATATCTAAGTAATAAGAAAAAGGACAATGGCTAGGATTCTGAGGATCATGATGAGGTCAACAAACGATATTATCCGAAAACGAACGAAGAATTTCTTGATGATGATCAACGATGATGAGGGTTAAGTTAATCCATTTTTTTCTTGCCCCGTTCATATGGATATAATGTCGATATATCGACAATGTCAAGAATCTAGTTAGTTAAGGTTTTGTTAATTTGAATAATGATTTCAATTGTTCAACCAAAACCCGGTCGGCTTTTATTTAGTTTTTTCCTTTATCTTTTTTTTTTAATCAATTGTCTTGTCAGAAACGAGATGATGATAATAATAATAAAGATGTTCAAATGTTCAAGGTTAACCGAAAAAATGATGAAAAAAAACCATTATTCAAATCCTGATGATCATATCATCATCACCATTATCACCATCAACAGCAGCATCGTTTTTTATCAATAAATTTTGATCTAAAACATCTATCTATCCATCTATTGTTGTTGTTGTTGTTATTCTAATCTAATAATATGATAACATCATCTATCGATGTTACCTGTTGCGCACTTACCTGTTGGTTACTCTACCATCCATTACATTCATTCGGTAGACAACTAAATTAAGATTATGATTCTTTTCTCTCTCTTTGAGATTGATTTTTTCGTTTTGCTTTGAATTGTTTTGTTCTTTAATCCTAAAATTTTAATAAAGTTTTTAATCATAATCATCATTCATTCAATTTTTTACTTTACTTACTTTTTTCATTCATTTATAGAACGTGAATATCGTTGCCTGGGAAATTGGGAAGAAGATGGTGTCCTGTATACATTTACACAACGTAGAGATATGCCTGGTCATCAATGTTTTGTAAGTCGTTGATTTTCTTTCATTTTGAATTCATTCGAACAAAACTAATTTTTTGCTTTTCCTGATGATGATGAATGATTGAATGAATCTGTAGGCTGGCAAAGTATATCGTAATGGTGATGAAGCATATATCAAAGAAGCTGGTGAAGATAGTTGTATGAGGTATGTTTGTTTGTTTCTTTAGTTTTTTTTTTCGGTCCCAATATACCACACACACACACACAGACACCGACATTGAAAGATAGGAATTTTTTGTTTTTTGACATTTGACATTCGGTGATGACCCTCTTCATTTATTCATTTTTTACTTTCGAATGTTTTTTGACATGTTCAAACATTCGATTCTATTTCCACTTATGTTTACCACCACCACCGCCCAAATAGACAATTTGACAAGATCCTTTACAACAAAAAAAAAACGAATATTGACAGAATCAGAAAGTGAATGAAAAAAGCAAAAAGAGACGAAGACAAATTACCAAATGATAGTTTTTTTTCCTATTGACAAATATATGTGGTTTGTTTTTTATTTTTTTGGTGCTCACAGTCTGTTCACATCATTCACACTAATCCAGTAGGATTTTCGTTAGTTAAAAAGAAAATGACCGAAATGATGCTAAATGAGAATGACTGCTGTTGTTGATGTCAAGATTTTTTTCAAAGAAAAAGAAAACATTCTTCAATTTGAATTGAATGATGATCACACTGAGAGAGAGGTCATTTTTTTCCTGTTATTATCCGATTTACTTACCGACATTGTTTTTTTTGTTCCTTTGGAGTGGCCATAATCAAAAAAGGAATGATCGATTGATTCGGATTTGTTCGAAGGATTTATCCATGTACCATTCAAACACCCACTTTAACAAAGTATATTCGACAGAAATCGATCGATAAATGAAATGATTGATTTTTCTTTGAAGAAAACAGAAATTTACAAAAGATTTACCCATCTATCTAAAGAAAACTGAATTCACTCATAGAAAGAGGCACTAAAAAAACATTATCATCGTTGTCGTCATAGATCATTAGCTGTAAATGGATAGAAAGATGATGATGATAATGACAAATATGACATTAACAGAAACATAATGGGACTACAAATAATACTTTCTGTGTAATGAATGTTTTTAATCTAATTTTCTTTTTTTTCTTTTTTCTTTTACCAGAGGCGAAGATGAAGATCCAATTATATTTGGAATGAAAATTGCTAAACAAGGTAAGAGTGAAGATGAATAACATTGAATGTTTGTGACATTTTTTTTGAACTAATCAAATTATCTCATCAAATTTGAATAATAATAATATAGCATCATGTCCAAGACATATTATACCAAAACCAATGATTCCATCAACATCATCAATGTTACCACATTTACCATCATCATTACCAACCAATATTCGAAATCATCATCAACATGGTGGTGGTGGTCATTCATCATCGTCATCGGATATTCAACAATCTGGCCATAAATCACAATCATCGATTGGTCAATCACAAACATCGAATGTTAATCATCATTCAACAATCAATAAATTTAGTTATCCACCTATTATCAAACCATTGATGCCTACATTATCACCACCATCCCTTTCATCACAATTACCAGCCATAGTTATTGGTGGTGGCGGTAGTAGTGGTCACCATCCATCATTCAAACCAATTCATGTTGATCATCATCATAATCATCCTCATCATCGTACCAATGGTAATGATAATGGATATTCACCACCATCGCAGCAACAGCCACAAGCACCATCGCCACCATTTTGGCAATATGATTCAACTGATTTACAATCATCTCATTCATCATCGTCGGCTAGTAAAACTCATTACAGACCGATCGTTGATAACGGTAGTAATAATCAACATCATCATCTAAATAATAATAATAATAATCGCCATCGAGATTCAAGCTCATCATCATCAATTTCGACGATATTGGCAACAAGTTGGACATTCTGTAATCTTTTATTATTACTAATATCGACCATCGTGATCCAAATTATTGCTCATTAAACTGATCGAATGAATCAATCAAAACAAAACAAAAAAATCAACGATCACGACTAGTCAATGTTGGTCCATCTCTAAAACCAATCAATCAAATCAAATCAATCCAGGATGGCTTGTGACAAATCAAAAACAAATTTTGTTAATTTAAATTCTTTTTTTTTTGAAAAAAAACTTGTTGTAAATATCATCATCATCCATGTTATTATTTTCTGTGATCACATCATCCATTCAACAACAAACAAAAACAAAAAATCTTTTCTCATTTGGTAGCCAGCCAATTCATTCTTTTTTTGTGTCTATATTTTCAAAACATTATCAAACAAACTTTGTTAAATATCATTTCACTTTTTTTTATTGTATTGTATATTTATTGATTGAAAAAATAAACATTTTTTATGGTCATTATTGATGACAAATCGAATGATTAGATGATGAAGATTATCACGTTAACAATGATGATGATGATGATGAAGGAATGAAAAAAGTGGTCATTGCATTCTGGATGATAATAGAAAATAAATCAAAAAAAGTATAAAACAAATACCAATCGCTAGATAACAGGTTAATCGAGAATTTTTATTCGTACGCATTAAACGATTTAAACGATTGCTTGTATTTTTGAGGAAAACATAATTACTACCAACATCGTCGTCCTATGAGAAATTGATTGCAAAAAATGATCGATTAATCTTAACAGGAAAAATCCATCCAAAATCATCTTACCACATCGTCCAATAATCGATTATGATGTCTAGTTTCATTTTCAATATCAACAGCATACTATTTGGAATAGAATGGATTAGAAGAATTAGAAGAAAAAAGATTCCAAATCAAAAATACATACGTTTTTTAATAATGAAACTTTTTGTGAAAGATTTTCCACTCGTTCACGATTTTCATAATCAAGTAAATCTCTAGCTTTATCTAGTTTGATCAAAAATTCAATCAAATGAATCAATAAATCAACCGGGAAAGAAATACTTACCATTCATTTTTGATCCTTGAAAATTCTTTTTCTCAAAAACAGAATGTGTCATTACGAAACAAACAAAAACAGAATTTGTTTACAACAAAAAAAAACTTATGTGAGTTGCCGTTAGATGGCGCTGATTTTTAATATTGATTAAAACTTTTATTCGAAAAAATTCAAATTAGCCTAATTTTCATTGGGAGAAATAGAGAAAGAGAGATTAAGAAAGATTTCTTTTGTTTTGTTCCAAAATTGATAAAAAATTAAATCACAAATAATGATGATCATCAAGAAAAAAAAATCCATATACAATAATAAACATTACAAAAAAAAAGAATAATCGCAAAAGAGATTAATGAAAAATAAAATATTATCTGTGAATATCATCATCATTATCATCATTCATGGATGTTTTTGGACAAAAATGATTGTTGGTGGTGCTGAAATATATGTGATTTTCGGCTTCGGTTTTGTACAATATTCTTTCTATCATCATCATCAACGATTTTTTGTAATCATCAAACATAATCAATTTGAACGTGTAGATTTTTAATACCAACTTGTTGAAATATTGCATTTGTTTGATTAACAATCGCTGCTGGATTTACATTATCCGATCGTATTTCTATTTTTAATGCACCAACATATTGACCGGAACATAATGTCCAAAAATGTGCTTCATGTATATTTTTCACTCCATCCAATTGAGATACCTAAATGAAAAGATCATTAATTTGATTGAAAAATTTTCAAATAAATATCCTTACCCTTCGATAACAATTCGGCAGAATTGAATCCAATTCACGTGGTTGACGTTGCATAAGTATAGCACCTGATTCACTTAACAATGGATAAACACTGATAACAATTAAAAATGATATAAACATTGAACAAAGTGGATCGGCAATCATCCAACCAAATTGTGACATTAATAATGCCGATATGATAACACCAACACTTCCTAATGTATCGGCAACAATATGAAGAAAAACACCTTTCATAATTTGATTAGTAGGTGCACCACCACCACCATGTGAATGGGAATGTGAATGCGAATGATGATGATCATTACTAACAGGACCACCACCATGACTATGATTATGATTTGCTGAAGATGGATAAGGCTGATAAGGATCATTATTATTATTACCATAACCATTTACAGTGACAAATGTATATGGATCACTACTACTATTATTCAACATGTTAATCGTTTCTGGATGTTGTTGTTGTTGATGATTATGATGTTCATGTTCATGATGATGATGATCATATGATGAATGAGAATGTCCATGATCACTACCACCACCGTGCGAATGACCATGATGTGATCCACCATGTTGAAATACAAATATACCAATTATATTTACTAATAATCCAAGTACAGATATAACAAATAAACGTTCATGTTTTACTTCGGGTGGTTCAATAGCACGTTCAATTGCTTCGGCAAATATAAAAAAGGCAACGAATATTAGGAATAATCCGTTAACAAAACCGGCAAGAATTTCCGCACGAACATAGCTAAATTTATATAGAGAAAGGGTTTGAAAATTTGGATTAGAATTTGAAAAAAGAAGAATCAAATGAATCAATATACCCATATGTAAATGCTTGATTAGCACGCCATTTTGTTACAATTGATGCAATTAAACCGGCAACCAATGCTGTACAATCGAAAAACATATGAAATGAATCCGATATTAAACCTAAACTATTGGTCCATATTCCATAGAATAATTCGACGAATGCGAATGAAAAATTTAGTAATAAAAATAGTAATAAATTTCTCGAATTTCTATCGGAAAATATTAGCCTGGAAAGAAGATAGAGAGAGAAAAACATTCGAAATTATTTGAGCAATGGATGTTTGTTTGTTCAATATTTACCTTAACCATCCTTGAATTTTTTCTCTAATTCGATAGAATGTTAAATTGCTTTTAGTAAATTTATTATTATTATCATTCGATGAATATATAGGCAACATTTGAATTGAATTGATTGATTGATTAATGTGATGTGATGTGATGTAGTTGAGGTGTTTTGAATCGTTTTTGGCTGAAAAAAAAATGAAATGAAATGATTTTTCTGCTTTAAAATCAATTATAATAGATTATCCATATATAGGTTGAAAACAAAAATGTCGGAATCAAATCAGTAGAAAAAGTTTTTTTGGATTAAAAAAAAATTGATATGTGGATTGCTGTTAAATCAATGTCGAATTGATGATGATGATCCAAAATGTTACACAAAATAAATCTGATATTTTGATATTTAAAAAAGATGATGGATTTTCTTTTTTAGATTTACAGTCATGTCATCATTAACAAAAAAAGAAACGGCCTGCGTTATTTTTCATTTTTCATTTCATTTCGCTTGGTTTTGTTTGTTTGTTTGTTTCATCAATATATATTTTTTAGTACAGTTGGCACTTTGATAATAATAACAATCCTGTTCATATACAATGTAACCAAACGGTATTCGACAATCGAAAATTTCCCGCATGCCATACACATGTATACACATACATAATATTCGCGTATTCGGGTTAAGCAAACAAAACAAAAAACAACAAAAACAAAAAATTTCTTAATTTAGTTTTTTGAATGTCAAACGTTTTTTTCTGTTTTAAACATCATCATCATTATCGTTAAGTGTATGTATTGAGAATATCCCCGAGTTGGTCATCATCAATCAAATTTTTTTGTTGCATGTTTCACTATCATCATTTCGCACTTTGAATATATTGATTGATAAGGAAGAAAGAAAAGTGGGTGATTCGATCGATTATCGATTTCTTATAAACATTTTTTATATAGAAAGCTTGTTGTTGTTGTTATTTCCAAAGTTGCTTGCCTGACTGCTTTTTTTTCCCAAAATATATTTCATGTTTCACGTTTTCCCTTTCGAGCTTTGCCTAAACGCTACATTCGGTTCCAATGGTAACGATTGATTTTTGTTTTTTCAATGTTTTGCTTTCCATAAATTACCATTCTTCTCTTTCCATTATAGAATCTTGTTATGTTAAGATCATGTTCTAATCATTATCATCGAATATTTTTGAAACGTTATTCGCCACTCTCGTCATCCTTATTCTGTCGACAATTTAACCACCATCAACACCGCCATCGTCATCAATATTATCGTAATAAACAACAAACACCTCCGAATAATAATTTAATGAGCCTTAAAACTAATCATACAAATTGTTCATCATCATCTGCATCATCATCATCGAATGTTGAACATCATTTTCCTGAACCATTCGAATTTCGACCAAAAAAAGTATTAGTTATTGGAAAATTTTCTCGTTTAGAATTTGAAAAACATCGTAATCCAGATTTAAGTGATAAAGAACTTGCCGAATATGTAAGCATAATAATAATGATGATATTCAAATTCAAATTTGATTTTTCCTTGTTTCTTTTTTGATCAGATTGAAAATCATGGTTCAGATTATCAATCATTATTATATCATCATAAAATTCATTCAACAAATCGTGAACATATTGTTAAATGTTTACAACAACGAAATATTGAATGTCGTGTTGTTAATCGTTTTGGTTACACGCGGGAATTAATCGATTGGTCTGATATGATTATAACATCGGGTGGTGATGGAACATATCTGCTGGCCGCAAATCAAATTTCAAATAATAATAAACCATTAATAGGTGTAAATAGTGATCCATCAAGATCAATTGGTCATTTATGTTTGGATAGAAGATATTCAAATCGATTTGATCTTGCATTAGATGCAATTCTTACCGGTCAATTTGAATGGTATTTTCGTCAACGAATTCGAATTACATTAGAAGGTGAAAGTGCCCTGAATGATCCAGTTGAACTACATGATCAACAATTAATGCAACGTGAATGTAGATTTTGGGATTTGGATAACATTCATCAATTGCCTAAAAAATCTACCCCAAACGATATAAATGAAAAAATCAAAACGACTAATGATCAACGACGTCGTGTATTACCACATTTAGCTTTGAATGAAGTATTTGTTGGTGAATCATTATCATCAAGAGTATCATATTTTGAAATGGCTATTGATAATCGACCAAAATTTAAGATAAAAAGTTCGGGAACAACTATTTGTACAGGAACTGGTTCAACATCATGGTTTTTCAATATTAACAAACTAACACCACAATGTGTTTCGAATCTTTTCAATATAATTAATGAAGAAAGATTTGGTGGCCAAAATCATCAATCACCACCACCACTCGATCCAAATGATCAACGATTAGTACAACGTATTACGGATCGTTTTAATAGTTCATTAATTTATTCACCATCCAAATTATTAATGGCATATGTTATTCGTGATCCGGTTGTATTCGGTACAAATTTTAATAGTAATCCGAAAGATTTTGCCCAAAAAATTGTGATCAAATCTCGTATGACTGATGCTCATATTGTTATTGATGGTGGTCTTTCATATGCATTCAATGATGGATCGAAAGCATCATTTGAAATGTTTGAAAAAGATGCATTAAGAGCAATCAAATTAAAAGAATGATGAACATTTCATTTATTTATTGCTGCTTCATTGTATATAATGTAAGCATTTCATTTTCAATATGATGTAATGGTCGTCCGACAATAATCAACGAATGTAATGGTGGTCCCATATCAACATCGATCATTTGTTGAAGTGTACCTTTTATTATTTTTTGTTTATCACTACCGATTCGAGCTAATGCTACACATATTGTATCGGCTGTCAGTTTGGTCGTTTGTTGTTTTGATTTCTCTTCAATCGATTCAAGTAATTGTCGAGCAGCCACATTAACAGTCATAAATGTTGGTGGTAAATATTCTTGCCTTCCACGCATCATTGCCTCTATCGATTGTTCTTTTACTTTGATATCTAAATAGAATGTGCGCGATATTAAATTATATTTTCAATGATAATTTATTTGTATTCAATCTACTTACCAAGTAAACATAATGTATGTAAACCATGATTAATATTAGCTTCAATTTTATCTAAAAAACTTGTTGGTCTCCATTGATCGGTCCATAATGGAATTGATATTACTTCACCAAAATTATATAATTGTAATCCACAACAACCACATGCATTTATAATGGATGCATTATGAATAATTCGATGTTCAATACCTTTATCTCTTGCACGAAGTATCAAATCAGTATGTGTTGTAGCTCTATCAAAATCAAAATCAATAAATATTCAATTGTAACCATGACGATTGTCTTACCCTAATGGATCACCAACAACAAGAAAAGCAATGTCATCGATATCAGCATTGGCCAATATTTGATCGGAATTTTGTTCGACAAATTCACGATCGGCTGCAATAACTGGACGTTCATAGAATTTTTCCAATTCATCAATACTATCATCACAATAAATCGATGTATATGATTCAAGATAAACACGTTTAGCTTGTTTTATAATTGTCAATCCTTTAACGGTAATATCAGTATGATCACCAAGACCTAAACCGATTAGATAAAGCATAATTCTTGTTGAAAATATTCTTTTCTTTCAACGAATCCAAATTGTATTCGAATGTTGACTATTATCACGTGTTCATAGCCATTCATAAATGTCATATCCAACCAAATGATGACAAAATTTTACCATCAATTTAATGAATGAATCATTTGATGATCATTATTGATTGACAACTATACTGGGTTGATATTGATGATGATGAGCTTTAAATGGCGACAAAGAATGACGATCATCATCATCATCAAAAAAAGAAAAGTGGTAAAAATGAATCACGCCCGTGTAATATTGCGGCAATATCGAATTAGTCGTTCATCACTGAATCAATACCGACACAGACAGACAGTGAAAGAGAGAGAGATAGACAGACAGACAGCTGTACAGTTGTACTGAAAAGAATGGTAATAGCAGTGGTAGAAGCATTGTTGACAATTGATAATTGTGGTTAGTGTGGTATGTTTCGTGTCATAGCAATCGAATACTGCTGCATTTGATGATGATGATGATGATGATGGTTATTTTGATATGATGATAATAATGATGATGATATTTTATTCGCTGTGTGTAATATCATTTATGGTAAAGTGAATCCAACAAAACAAATTATTTTATCCACTGTGTTTTTTTTTGTCTGTGCAAATCTTACATTAATAATTTTGGTTTTGTTGTTGATTACACATCCATTATAGCTTCTGGTCTTTTGGTAAAATCATCAATGCGGTGATATATTTCTTCCGTGTTCCGTACTATTTTTCTTTTCGTATTGAATCGAATGTTGTTTTTTGAGCATCAAATGAATGAATAGTTTTTTGTTTTCAATCAACGATTAATTCAAAACTATAAACTGAATTAAATGTATGGATCATTGACGAATTAACAATCAATCAATCAATCGATTACATCATCATCATCAACATTACCATTTGTTTATTATAGTGATATTTAATTTTATAGGGATCATCAATCAATCAATCAATCATGCCATTATTCGGTAAATCAACGAAAAGTCCATTCGAATTGATAAAAAGTCTACAAGAAGCATTGTTAGCGTTGGAAAAAGGTGATAAAAAAGCGGAAAAAGCACAGGAAGATATATCGAAAAATTTATTGCTCATTAAAAATATGTTATATGGTACGGGTGATACTGAACCACAAACCGATATTGGTGTTGCACAATTATCGCAAGAATTATATAATACAAATCTATTGTTACAATTGATTAATAATCTTAGCCGAATTGAATTTGAAGCAAAAAAAGATGTTGCACAAATATTCAATAATATATTACGGCGACAAATCGGTACCCGTTCACCAACCGTAGAGTATATGTGTACTAAATCGGATATATTGTTTACATTGATGCGTGGCTATGAAAAACATGATATTGCATTACATTGTGGTTCAATGTTACGTGAATGTGCCCGTTATGAAGCATTAGCTAAAATAATGTTATATTCGAATGATTTTTATAATTTTTTTAATTATGTTGAAGTTTCAACATTTGACATTGCATCGGATGCCTTTTCAACATTCAAAGAATTGCTGACTAGACATAAAACATTATCGGCCGAATTTCTTGATACTAATTATGAACGTTTTTTTACCTGTTATGAAAAATTATTGAATTCAGAAAACTATGTAACAAAACGACAGTCATTAAAATTATTAGGTGAACTATTATTGGATCGTCATAATTTTACTATAATGACAAGATATATTAGTTCACAGGATAACCTTAAATTGATGATGACAATGCTAAAAAATCGTAGCCGTAATATACAATTTGAAGCATTTCATGTATTCAAAGTATTTGTTGCCAATCCGAATAAACCGAAACCTATTCTTGACATTCTTCTGCGTAATAAAGATAAACTTATTGATTTTCTAACGAAATTTCAAACCGATCGTGCCGATGATGAACAATTTAATGAAGAAAAAGCCTATCTTATTAAACAGATTCGTGATTTAAAACCGATTGAAGAATCAAATTAATGTTAATCGCTGGTTTGTTTTTTTTGTTTAATGTTTGGGTTAACTAACTATCGCGTATTACTTGTAGACGAAAATCGAATGTCATCATCATTTTCATTCATTCAATTCATTCATAATCCAGCCAAACTGAAGAAATGGATGGGTATAGGTTGTTGTTTTGTTTTGGCCAACGAATCTGTTCTGTGCATTGTTTTTGCTAATTAATTAATATTATTTTTTTTCCATTATCATCCATCATCATCATATTACATGTGCACACTTTTTATTATTATTATTGACACTGATCTGGGTGGTCATATTTGATTCTCACCCCATCACACTCCCCATATATATTCATTTACAACAATAAATTGCATGATAAACTTTTAACAACAACAACAAATTCAATTCTCAAACATTGTTAATTTTTTTTGTTTTTGATTGTTGGGGAGAAAGGTGGTGGTGATGAGAGATAAATTTAAGAAAAAAAAAATTCATTTGATGCATTTGATTAATTTAAAAAGAAAATTGATTAAAATAAAACGTCCTTTATGAACGGTTTTTTTGTGTGACATACACACGCGTGTTTTTTAATTTTGCGTTCGATTCTTGTTTGTTGATCGATCTTTTTCGCAAATTCAAAATGAATTCAAGCGATGATGATGATGATCAGGTTAACGATTATCAACAACAAAACAATGATGATGATTTACTAAGTGATGATAATGAAGAAGAAATTCTTGCCAGTGAAGATGATGATGATTCTGATGAAGAAGACGATGATGATGATGATGAATATGATGATCGTTTTAGTCGATTCCAAATTGAAAGAAAAAAAGATGAAATGGCTAGCGATCTTGAAGATGATGATGACGATGATGATAATGATAATGATGGTTTACCAGATGTAAAAGCATGGGGTCGAGATAAAAAATCATATTATCATACTGATTATATTGATAAAGATTATCGTAGTCAAAAACAACGTGATCAAGATTTAGCACAATATGAAGAAGAAGAAGCATTACAGATCCAGAAACGATTACTTGAATCGATTAGTGATCAAGATTTGGGCATCGATTTATTATTGGAAAATATTCGACCAAAATCGGAAAAATTATCCACGACTATTGTTGAGCAACAAACTGTGGAATCAACGATTAAAACTTTGCCAATCGGCCTAACCAAAGAACAAAAATTGGCCATCCTAAAACAAGAATCACCCGAATTAGACCTGTTGAAAAATGATTTTGAAAATTATTGGAATGAAATTCGTGAGAAACTTCAACCATTAGTATTCGAATTTGCTCAATCAAAAGATTCGAATCCTCAGGCATTGAATATTCTTAAATTACGTTTGATTTTATTGACAAATTATTTGGCACATATTTCGCTTTATTCATCAATGAAATGTAATTCAGCCGATCGACAATCAGTAAAAGATCATCCAATTATTAAACGTTTATTTACATATAAAAAATTAATCAAACAATTGGATGATTGGATTGAAATGAATGTGGAATTCACACGGCAAATTGAATTTGCATTAGATTCGATCAGAAATAAACGACCAATTCGATTTATTCAGGAAGAAGACATTATCGCCGAACAACAACAAGATTCAATAGTCGATCAAAACATGGATTTCGAGTCGATTATGAATTTCATGGATGACTCGGAATCGGATGATGATGATTTGATGAAAAACGATACAACCGGAGAAGAAGAAGAAAAACGTGCCATCACCTATGAAATGGAAAAGAATAAAGGTCTAACACCGAAACGAAAACGTGAACAAAGAAATCCACGAGTAAAATATCGAAAGAAATATGAAAAAGCTGTCATCCGACGTAAAGGACAGGTACGATTACCACGGAAAGAATTACAAAAATATGGTGGTGAAATGACGGGTATTAATGTTCGATCAGTTAAAAGTGTTAAATTTAAATGATGATTATTTTCTTTTTACTTTTTTTCCAATAAAAATTTTTTTTTTCGAATGAATTTTTTTTGCTTATTTCGAACGATAGATGGCAGTAGTCGTTTTATTCGGTAAAATTTGTTGCCGTGTGGTTGAAAATCGTGTTTGTTTTTTGTTTATTTTTCAAAACAAAAACAAAACATTTTTTTACATCGAAAATGAATGAAATTCATCAATTGAATCAGCAATCGATCAGTTGTGATCAACAACAACAACAACGTGAAACATTCATACCGAATGTTCCGGATTATTATTGTTTTGTTGATGAAAATTTTCTTAGCGAAACATTTAGTGTTGATGGTTTTGTTCGCCGTAATAGTAAACGTGTACAATCATTGGAAATATTGAAAGAACATTTAAGTGCCTATCTAAAATTGCTCAAACAATCAATGGTTAATTTGATAAATGCTGATTATACTGAATTTGTTAATCTTTCGGCCAATTTGGTTAGTTTTGATAAATTAATCAAGAATATTAAAACACCGGTATTGAAATTTAAAAATGAAACCGATTTGGCTCGATCCAAAACAAATGAAACAATCACTTTGATTACGGCCAAACATGATCGATTGAAACAAATTCGTGAAAATAAACGTAAACTATCAATGATATTGGAAATTATTGATTATCTAGATCGAATCGAAACCAATCATGAACGAATTGAATCAAAAATTTCTGTATATCAAAACGATTTCGAAGCTAAACGATCAGAAATTTATCCCGGTTTAGGTGAAAATTCTACTTTAATCGCTCGATTGAATATCAATTTTGATTGTCTTTGGTCGTTGAACGAGACCACCAAAACCAATCAAACGTTTGTTCAAAATCTTCGAAATCGTTTTGAAAAAGTGACTCAACAATTCCATGAATATTTGGAAAATGAACTTTTATTTCTTATCAACACTGATCGATCGAAAGATGAACAAATCACCTTAAATATAAGCCTGGCTTTGGAACAAATATTTGCACTATATTTGATTGATGGTCAAAATCAAAAAGAATTAGAACGAGTGATTCGAACTCATATTGTACAACCTGGTTTTCAGGAGATAATTTCCAACAGCAATCAAGTGGCAACAATATTCAATCGAACAATCGATTTGATTGAAAACGAATGGTCATTATGGATCAATGTTTTGATCAATACAAAACAATTTGAATCATTTAAATTCAATTTAATTCAATCGATTATTTGGAATCCATTTGTTGATCTGTTTCTGATACGATCACCAATCTTATTGGATTTATCCGATCTAGATCAATTTGAACAAAATTATTTTCAAACATTCGAATTTGTTGAACAATTTGTTCGATTAACCTCACTGTCGGATCGGATGTTTCAATTTGAACAACAATCCAGCTTTAAACGTTTGAAATCAAAATTCAAGCTAAATGTTTATTTTCATATGAAATTACGACGATTATCTTCGGATATGGAAAATCGTTTCGATCAATTGGGTTATTCTATCAACGATAAAATTGATCATCAACAAAATCAAAATCATCAATATCGAATGAATGTCACAAAAATGATTTATGATCATTTGATTGATTGTTGGCCAAAATCCAAAAATCAAAATAATATTGGTGATATGTTTATTTATTGTTGGAAATTATCATTGAAAGTATTGTCTCGATTTACCATTTGGATGGCTACAATTGATTTGGCTAAAATTATGGCCAATTTGAACAAATCATCAATGATAAATAATGATGGTGATACAAAAAGATTAATTCGTCAAACATTAATTTATTTGATTTCGGATTCAAATTTATTCCTAAATGAAACAACAAAATTATTCACCGATTTGATTGAACCATTTTGGTTAAATTATTACCGGAGCAGTTTAATTCATCGATTATCCAATAATCATGAATCAATTTCAGAAGGTTCTCTTCGATGTTCATTCGATGAATTTGTTACCAATTTTCGTACGAAATCTATCGATAAATTAATCTTGTTAATGCGTAATGAAATTGTTAACGAATGTAAAATTTGGCTTAATCAGGTGAATGATATACCACGATTATATCGACGAACAAATAAAGAAAAACCAAAAGAAGCATCTAACTATGTGGATAAATGTCTACGGCAATTGATTGATTGTATGGGAATGTTGGGCAACCAAAATAATGATTCAACCAACACGATGATGATCAACACTAATCAATGTTTATTAGACATACTAAACGATCTAACTGTACATTATAAACATTTAACATTAGAAGTATTAACTTCGGTACAGAAAACTGAAGAAAGTTTAAAAAAATTAAAAAAACATAAAGGATTTAGTAATTCGACAATGGTGGCTGCCAATCAATCATCCAACATGTCTGATGATGATAAAATACGCTTACAGATTTATTATGATGTAACAACATTGGGCAAACAGGTAAGTTTGGAAATATTATTTTCTCTTTTAATAATTCATTTGTTTTGTTTAATTTTCTAGTTGCAAGAAAAACTGGCCATAGATATTGATTCATTAAAATCATATAAAGAATTAATGGCCACAATAGAATCATTAAAATTATTGAAATAAAAAAATTTGCTTCATAAATATATCACAATTTTGTGGTTATGATAATGGAATTTTGTTTTTTTGGAGGGTTGGTTGGTTGTTAGGTCATAATGGCCCGAATCCAAGTAGAATTTGTTCTCTTGGTTGATCATTCGAAGCTACTGATGCAATCGGTCGACAATTTGGATTGAAAACTGAATATGCACTTAATTCACCGGGTGTTTTACGTCGTAAATTGATAATGATGAACAAAAGTAATGATATCATTAAGAATGGTGCACCAAATCCATAACGATTTGCTTGCCATTGACCAGTTGTATATAATGTTAAACAAATGATCCAAAATGACCATTGACGCCAGGTTAATAGTCGAAATGTACTGAGAATAAGTGATCGAAATGAATCATCATTATCATCATCTTCTTCATCATCGCCATCTTGAGCTTGGTCCGGAAAAAATGGTAAATCTGGCCTATGATGTTCATTGTTATCATCATCATCATCCCAATCACGAAATTCGGCCCGATCATCATTATTGTTGTCGAATGCAAAATTTTCAAAAAGAACATTTGGATCATTCAATAATGGATCAATTTCATGTTCACGAGCTTCATTTGGTTGATGACGTGGATTTCGACGATTTCTTAGATTATTATTACCAGTTTCGAATCGAAAAACTTTAGCCATTTGTCGTCCAATTTTGATTCGATTACCACCAGCATTAGATTTCTTAACATCTTTGGAAACTTTTTCTTCCGATGGATTGTTTGTAACTTGGTTTTCAGCTTTACTTTGCATATATCGTTCATGAAGTAATTGACGAACATTTTTAATTTCACTTTGCTGTTCTAATTGTTGAATAGATGATTGAAACATTTCTAAACGTTCTTTTGGTGAAAGACTATTGTTGCTGTTATTGCTGCAACCATTATCGTTTTTAACATTATCGTTGGTCATTTTCAACGATTTTCGTCTAATATTTGATTTTTTCAAAAAAAAACAAACCAAAACTTCTGCTTAAAAATACTACGTCGAAAATAAACAGGTAAACACAAAAATATGGAATGGTAATCAGAGACATCTATGTTTGCGCAGATGAATCACAATGATGGTTTGAAAATTCATTCGATAATCCGCGACCTGTTAATGTTTTACGGTAAGGTAAAAAAAACAACTAAGATTAGTTTGTTTGAGCATCAAAAAATTAATCCCATCCAATTTTATTTCATTCCAAAATAAAAACTCTGGAATCTATGTATAAATAATTTTGACAATTTTCATATAAATATCACAGGATCTATTGATCATTGTTGTTTTCTATCTAATTTTTTTTGGTTTGTGCTGTGACTCTATTCACCTGTTGTTGGTGCTGATGATGGTTATTATTATCAGCAATTTTCTTCAATTGTTCATTTTCTTTTCTTAATAATTCAATTTCGGCTAATAGTAATTCTTTTTGATTTAAAATTTGTTTCATTATTTCTTGTGTATCATCGTCGTTATTATCAGGTAATTTCGATGATGGTAATGGCGATAATAGCCGATCTTGTTCACGTACCAATTCAACAATATCGACAATCAAATTTCTTTCAAATATTTTTCGATGTTGTAATAATAATCGATTTGTCGATGGAATATCTATAATTTTAAAAAAGCAAAAAGGTTAATAATCATCATTCAATCAATCATTCAAAATTACCTTTAGACATTTTCAATGTTTCAACAATCCATTTATTTTCACGATTACGATTGATTGACATTTGTGGTATAGTGAATAATATTGGTGGTACACGTACTGAATGATCAACAATACAAAATTGAACATTTTCCATTAATATTGATAATGGTGCAACATTTTCCGTAATATTATCATTAAAAAAATCAACAATTAAATCGATTGTTTCTTTATTCAATGATTCGGATAAATCTTTAACATAAACACTGATTAATTCATCTTTTATCGATAATCCTTTACTATATGAATCAATACGTATGGTAATCTGATTGTTTTTTGTTTGATGTTGATCATCATTATCATTACCATTACCATTGTTAATGGTAACATTTGTTGATTTGGTTCGATTTTTATATCGATTCAAATAATCATCTTTAGTTATTGATCGTAATTCATTCAATTCATCCAATTGACAATCAATAAAAACTTGTGATAGAAAACCTTTTGATGATTGTTGTATTAGATTAATATTTTTCATACGGATTTGTAATGCATCAATTATAGTTTGATGTTTTTTATTTTTCAAACATTTTTTCTTCATTTGATGATTCAAAGATGTTGATGGTGATGAATTATCATTCATTGTACTGGTTTGATTAGTCGATTCATCATTATCATCATTATTATTATCGATAGTAAAATCATTAAGATTTTCAAGTATATCAACAGCTTCTTCAACAGGTGCTGATTCATTAAGAATATCATCCAATAAATCAACATCACTACCATCACCACAAATACTACCATTAGCATTAATCATTGCAATCATTGATTGTTGATCACTATCATCAGCAGAATAATCACTTATTGTTGATAATGTATCATCATTATCGGCTATAGCATAATGTATACGAATATTTGAACTATCAATAAATGATGGAAAGCTATTCTTTTTTGGTAGATTCGGAAAATTGGTAAATTTTGTTGAATCCATTATTGTTGATGATGATGATGATGATTTGATTATTGAACTACCATTTAAATCAGATGATGATGATTTAGGCATCATTATGAATGATGTTTCATGATTATCATTCGATTCGATTGGTTGATTAGTTTCCAAATTGTCATTCGATTTATTAATCTCATTATTTTCAATTTCATTTTGTTGATCATTTGACTGTTGTTGACAATCAATTAATGATGCCGGATGATTATTATCGATTATTTCACCATTATCCTCACCATCATCAAAAATTTCTTCATCCGTTTGTTTCAATAAAAGAAATATATTCACTTCAGGTAAATGTGTTACAATCGATGTATTTTTAAATATTGTCCGGATAATTTTCTCTTCCATATCAAATGTTGTATACGGTTGATGCTGTTCTTGTCTTGGTTGCTGCCCATCAATATTATAATTTTCACCAATCAATGTTTTTTGCTGTTGTAATCTTTGTATCATATATGTATCATAATTTAAAGTGGATGTAAATTCACCAAACATTTCAATCAAACGTATAAGAAACATAAATTGATCATGTGTTAGTTGTAAACAAATTGGTTCAGCAATTTTAGCCAAAATATTTACATCTAAATTATTGTTGTTTGCTTTATTGCCATTTAGATTTAGCTGATTATCATCTTGATCAGCCAAATCAATCCACAGCGAAATATTCACCGGATCCAATAAAGTTTTACATTCATCCATACGGGTGGATTTTATATCAATCCAAATTGGTTCAATATTGATGACAAAAAAATCCAAATCCAAATTCATTCCATTATTATCATTATTAGATAAAAATAACCGGTCAATTTTTTCACGAAATCCGGATGATATTGATTGAAGATCACAACCAAGCCATGGATAATTTAAATGTTCATAATAAAAATCAATATTACCAGTAAATTGTTTCATAAGATCATCTAATTTACGAAAATATTCTCGGCTAATAAATGAATCACAATTATATAAGATAATTTTTGATATTTTCAATTCCAAACAATTATAACCACCGATATTTAATTGATCAGCATTCGATAATCGTATACTGATTGTTGGCATTAAACATTCTAAACGAATATTTGGTCGATCAGAATTTTGATTCTTGTCAACAGGAAATGCTTGCTGTAGTTTGATTAATGCATTATGTAGATTGGCAAAAAATGAATTTATCCATAATATTGTTAATGGATCAAAACAAACACGAACCGGTGCAATCAAAACAAAAATATTCCTTTCGGGTAATGAAAAATTCAGCCGATCAAATGGTTCACAGAAAAAATAATTATTCATTTCCAGATAGATTGCCGGTATATTCCCAGGTAATGGTGATGAATTATCAAAGTAAATTAATTTTGATGGATCTGATGCGGTTGGATTATTTCTTGAAGCAGCGGCGGATGATGATGCAGTCGAATTTGTCGATACATGACCAATTGAATAATCACTAAGTCGAATGATAAGAACTTGTGAAATTAAATGTTGTTTAAGTGATTCAATATCAAAACGTGAACCTTCACGTTTAAATGCCGATTGTTGACGACGAAAAAATGCATTCAATTTATGTGTTATAAATGCTGAACGTTGTGGTGATGGATCCGAATAACGAAACCAATGTGAACGATCATCAGTCAATGTCGTTGTCGTTGATGATGATTTTTGTTGAAAACATCGATGATATGGATAAAGATCAATAAATAAACGATGAAATGACATTTGTAATGCACCACCATCTTTTAATTCGGGACATTGTGAACGTTCACTTTGTGGACCAAGATCATCCATTAAATGTACTTCAATTCGACGAATAATAATATGATGTGATGTTTCATGCAAATCATATTGATTAAATAATAAACTAATTGAATTTGATAGATTCATAGCCATTGATTTTTGACCAACATTATTCAAATTATTCGAATTGGTCATCCAATCCATCATTTTATTTTTATTCATTCCCATCATCGATGTCGATGTTGATGTTCCATTTGGTATTTCGTTTGCCGCAGTTGGTGAATTATCAAATTTTTTTGTTCTTGGTGCACGTTTAATCAGATCGCCAAGATAATCGGCAAAATGTAATGCCGAAAGTAATTGTGAATCAGTTAAAACCCATAAAAGATCATCAAATATTAACATTATTCGGGCTGCTTCAACCGAACAATCTGACAATCGTTTTTTCAATGATATTCTACATGATGCCTGGTTTGCAATCAAACGTAATGGTGCCTGTCCGATAGCCTGTTTGGATTCAGATTGTGCAACAAAACGTAATGTTTGCCATTCAATATGTTTGAATATCAATACTTTTCCACGTTGTTGATCACGTATACGTGTTTTAGATAAATCATTAACTTTTTTCCATAAACAATTTCGACTTTCAATCTGGATTCGTGTAAGCTATGTTTGTGAATTACAAATTATGTTAAAAAATTATCAACAAATCAATGAATAAACAAAATAACAAACCTCAAACGAAGCACTAAAAATTTTCGATGTTAATTGTATTAAAACGGAATTTATCGATAATGTAATACCATCGATAACTTTTTGTGTAAAACCATAGCTACCCATATCTTGATTTAATGATGAAAATCTTGTTGATCCATTATTACCATCAGTATTATTATCATTACGATAATCATCACATGTACAAACATCGATAATTACTTCATCAAGTAATATAAATATTGGTATAGTTTTCAATTTCATCCATTGTATCTATAGATAGATAAGATAGATAGATCAGATAAGATAATCGAATGTTTTGTAAATTTCGAATGTTTATGATTCGAATTCGAATGTTTTTTTTTCAATTACAAACCTTTATCGATGCATAATTACAATAGGCACGTGTTAATGACATCCAAACAGGTAATTCTAATAATTGCATTAAAATATTTTCATCCAATTCAATATTGGTTACTTCACATGAACCTTTTATTGCACTTAATTGTAATTTATCTGGTGATAGATTTTTTGTAAATCTTTTTTTATAAAAGACAAAAAAAGATGAAGATGATTTTACAAGAACAAAAAAAAACTCCCCGAAAATAAACTTACTTGGATAAATGTTTAAGAATTTGATTTTTGATTAATGATGCCATCGTTTTCGAATAAAATAAATCAACAGAAGTCAAAAAATTTTAAATTAATTTCAAGATAGATCAGAATGGTTAGATTGAAAACCCGAAATTTATCATATAACAGCTGTGAAAAACAGTGTAGAATTTTTTGTTGTTTTGAATTGACAAATTGTCAATCAAAAATGAAAAAAAATTAAAATTTTAAAACAAAAAAAAAACATTATCAACAGTGGCTCGTTGCTCTAACAACAAAACAAAACATCATTTTTAAATCATCATCAAAAAACAAATAAGGAAATTTTCAAACGAAAAAACTATCATCAATTTTATTGTTTTGTTTTGTTGATGTTATCTTCTTTTTGATGAAATCTCAATCAAAAAAAGAGAAATTTTTTGACGAAAAAACCAATATTTTCTTTTGGCCATATGAGCACAGTGTTATACGCACACTTTTATGAAAAACAAAACAAACAAAAACACGTTGTATATGAATGGATCCATCGTTTTTTTTTGGTGATAATTGTCAATTGGATTTGATAACGTTCGAAATCAGAAAAAATGCCCACCAAAAATTGTAATATCGATGATGTTGATGAGAAAAAAGAAGATTCTTCATGGCCAGAAAATGGTTACGCTAATCATCCACAAAACGGGGTAAATTTGAATGATGAAGAAGATGATGATGATGATTTATTTGAAGATAATGTATGGAATAATCTGTCCAACGAAAATCATGATGATAATCAACAAAATGGTTTCCACCAAGATAATGTTGTTGATGATACTGAAATTAATAACAATGAATATATTCTACTTAGTCAAGATGAAAATGCTGCTGTCAATAATAATAATGATCAACGACGACAATATTATCGTCATGATTATCAAGTGGAATGGTTGGAAACGAATGAACAATTATTTTTTGGATCAACCGCCGCAACAAACGACCACGAACCTGTAGCGTCTCAGAACGCTGAACCGGAAAATGAAATCATCGAATCGGAACAAAATTCCGCAACAACAACAACGACAAGTATCATCAACAATGCCGACAACAACAACCAGGAAAATAATGATAAAGATGATAACAATGATGATGAAAAAATTGATGTCGATACAATACGTAACTTGATGGCCAATTTTCAATTACCCGATAATCATTATCCAGATTGGGCACGTAATCTACCAGAAAATGAATGGCAACAAAATTTACGACAAAGATTATCAGATAAGAAATGAATTTTTTTTATTATTCATAAATCATTTAAAAAAAAAATGTTGAAAAAAGAGATTTTGAAATTGAACGGAGTTTTTCGCATTCCAAATCATATTCTAAGATGCTTGCAAAAATCCTTGCAATTCATCTTTAGTCATCATATGATAACCATGTTCACGTGTAATTTTAGCTACTTCAATATTTGTTGAGCTTAATTTTTCTTCCATAACTTGTTTAAGAATTTTCATTACCGATTTGATTGCTTCATCGATTGTTATTGACTTTGATTGTTTTTAAAAAGAAAAATAAAAAATTTATAAAATTTATCGAAAAAATCGGAATGGAATCTAATGGAATTTTTAAAAAAAAAACTTACTTTATTATAAGATTCTTGTAATGCTTGTTGTGCACCTTCACAACCGGAACCAATAGCTTTTGCATCACATGATACATAAGTACCGGATGGATCCATAAAATATAATGATGGTCCATTTTCATCAACACCTGCAAACAGGATAGCCAAACCAAATGGACGACTCATAGCACTACCTTCACTATCACTATCACCAAATTGAATAGCCAGATTTGCAACAGCTTGTGTACAACTTTCAACAGTCATTTTTTCATTATAAAGAAACCAATGTTGTTGTGTTTCAACACGTGCACGATCAACCATAGTACGTGCATCGGCCATCAATCCCGAACAAGCACATGCCAAATAATTATCAATTTCGGATATTTTTTCCGTTGCCGATACATCCATTAATGGTGATGTAATACGTTTTTCTACAGCCAATATAACACCATCTGAACATTTAACAGCAATGGCTGTTGATCCAAGCTATTTTAAAAAATGAAAAAATTCATCAAAAATCAACCCGGTGACAATCGAATCAAACTGACCTTTATTGCTTCGATAGCATATTCCACCTGGAAAAGACGACCTTCAGGTGAAAATGTATTAACACCACGATCATATTCCGATCTTGTCATAAACATTTTGTGTTGTTTTTGTTGTTAATTGAATTTCGGGTAAATGAAAAAATTTTTTGTTTGAAAAAATTTTGAAAGAACAACGCTTTTTCTGTCGAGTCATGAAATATTGACATGAATGAAAAATATCATTCTTTTTTTCTGGGACCATTCATATACAATGTTTTCGAATGTTTTTACAAATTAACAACAACAACAACAACAAACGCTCATTGTAAATTTCGAAGTTTTTTAAAACTTTTTAAACTTTAAACTTTTAAAACTTTAAAAAAACAATCATGGTTTGTAATAAATGTCAGAAAAAATTGGGTAAAATTATAACACCAGATGTATGGAAATCTGGTGCACGTAATACTACCGGTATGTTATTCATTTGCATCATCGAAAAATTTCATTTTAATCAAAATTTTTTTTACATTTTAAAAGAAAGTGGTGGCCGTTCAATCAATGAAAATAAAGCATTGACATCCAGGAAAAATCGTTTTCAACCATATCAAAAATTTGAAACCTGTAAAATATGTAAACAAAAAGTTCATCAAGCTGGTTCACATTATTGTCAATGTAAGTCATTTTTTTGATTTTCGAAAATTCAACAAAAAATATCGATCATATCGATATTTCAATTTCGATATTTCAAACAAAAGGCACTATTTGATAATCTACTTCCTTTTCTTTTCCCCTTTTTTTTCAATAAATAAATATAGCATGTGCATATAAAAAAGGAATCTGTGCAATGTGTGGATCAAAAATTTATGATACAAAAAGCTATTGCCAATCAAGTGTTTAATGATCGTCGTTTTGGACATGGGATAGATTTAGAATTTTTCATCAATTAATTTTGTAAAATATTTCATTTTTCTTTTGGAAAACAAAACAAAAAAAACGTCATCAGCATTTTTGTTTCGGTTTAAAACGAAATAAAAATCATTCGCATCAATCATTCATCGTCGTCATTTCAATGAAATCATCAGCAACAACTTGACAAAAAACAACCCTTTCCTCTCCTTCTTTCTTCTCATTTCTGCTTGTAAATCTAATTAGAATTACAACAATCATAATCCAATTGATATAATTTCATCCCAAAATTTTCCTATCCCATTAATCTTCCAACAAAAAAAAAATGTCAACCACCAATGTTAATGAAGATTATTTTCCCGTAAAACGATCATCATTTCGTCCACCATTATCAGTTCAACGTTATCAATATGTTTGTAATTTAATTCGACGTATGTCTGAACATCATAATCAACAACAACAACAACAATCAATTGAATCATCGTTTAAAATTGAATCAGTAGCCGATCTTGGTTCGGGTCATTGTCGTTTAGCATGGTATCTAAAACAATTACAATTTTTACGTTATATTCGTTGTTTAGATTTGAATGAAAATTGTTTTGAAGGTAATACATATGTTGTACCATCAACTGAAGAACGTTTTACAAATCGTTTAAAACCATTACAAATTGAATTATATCAAGGTGATGTTCGACAATATGATTCACGTTTTCGTCATGTTGATATTGTTACCTGTATTGAATTGATTGAACATTTACCATCCGATACATTAGATTCATTTGTAATGAATGTTTTTCAATTTATTCAACCACATTATTGTATAATAACAACACCAAATTTTGATTATAATCATCTTTGTCGTTTAAATAATGGTTATAATGATCAACAACAACAACAATCACGTGATCATTATCATAATCCATTATATCGTGATAGTGATCATTATTTTGAATTTACACGTGATGAATTTAAACAATGGTGTAATCAGATTAAAGAAAAATATCCTTGCTATACATATCGTTTATCTGGTGTTGGTCGTTTACGATCATTAGATCCAGATATGAATCTTGGTTATGCAACACAGATTGCTATTTTTCAACGAACAACTAATAATAATAATAATCATATTGTTGATGATAATGGTGATAATGGTGATGGACAACAACAACAATCGAAATCGATAGAATCGATACAAAATTATCAACATATTCGAACACATTATTTTGGACAATTATGGAGCCGTTCAAATCATCGTTTTTCTTGAAATTGAAATTGAAGTTAGCACGCATATTTGAGAGTGTTGTTTATTAAACGCTTACATAACACTTCATTTTAGTTCGAAAAGAACTTTTTTTTTTTGATTAATAAAAATATGAATGTTGTGTCTATGTTATAACTTAAATGTTCTATTATTCGAATATCTTTTAGAACTATTTATATTTATAATAACTAAATATCATAATAATGATTTAATTGTTGTTTAGAATTCAATGTGTTAAGTTCTTTTCTTAGTAAAATCTTAACAATGAATAAGTTGAAAATTAGTTGAGATTTAGTTTGAAGATTGATTTGATATATCCTTTCTACTGTTTCTTCCGTGTAAAATTAAATATGCTTTTGTGGAGATCTTCCCAAGACAGAGGAAGAATCGATTCTTTTTCTGCAAGACAAGAATATTTTGCCTAAATCCAAAATTTGTTCGAAAGGCCATGAAATGAGATTGTATATAAGTATTGTGAATTCTAAACGATTAATCCAATTAATTAATCCAATTAATTAATTATATTAACAATCATTCTTGATTAACATAAATCAAGAGTTACTTTCATGTCTAACCTTCAACCCAGTTTTATTATTAATATTAAAGTTATTGTATTATTTTATTATTATTGTGTTTTAATTTTAAGTTTTTTATAATAAGGAAAAGAATTTGCTTGGATATGCAATATGAAAGGAGTGCAATCAACAGATCGGCGGTATACGAAAAGACACGTGGTTCGAGGACAGTAGGATATCGTTTTGCACCGCAATTATATTCATCTTATTGCTGGTACGAAGAACTCACCTCAATAAAGTTTTATGAAAAGCAGTTGAAAATTTCCAGACAAAACAATTATTGATTGGAATAATTACTTAAGGGAATTGTGTATTTTAAATTTTTAAATAAAAAAATCAATGTTATTTACGATTAAATCTTTTGTTTTCTTTATTTATTTATTTTGAAAAAAAAATTTTGTCAATTCAAATGTTAAAGCGAAACAAGAAAAAAACACAATAAGTTAACAACGATCGAAAAAAAAGAAAAAGAAAAAAGATCTGGAGGTAAAGGCAGTTTTTTTTCGAAAGAATTTTTTTTGTTTTGTTTTCAAATTATTTTGCTAAAAACATAACTAGAATTTTTTTTCAATGGATGGTTTTTTGAATTGATTGATTGATTGGTTGGATGAGAAATTGAAAAAATTGAGAGATGATTGATTGATTGTAAAACGCACACCAAACACACACACACAAACAAATGAATAAAATGTACCAAACGACGAACACACAAATGTCAATGATTCTCTGTTGTTTTGTTTTCGAACCTAAAAAAAATTATTCGTTTGTTTGATTTGTTTTTGACTAAAATGGATGATTTAGGTTTTTTTATGATAATGTTTCACCACAAATCGGTGGATTAACCGAACCAAATAAATTGAATTCAATTGCTGAACTAATAATTAAAAATGCAACATATGTACCAAGTAATGAATAACCAAGTGATGGATTTAATGTCCAATGATTATAATGAAATAGATAAATTGTTGCCAATAATGAAAGGAATAATAAAATAACAGCATAAACAAGACCACCACTATTTATACTTGATACNAAACAACACAAGAAAAGAAAAATAACAAAAATGAAACGTGTGTTTAACATTTGACAAATTGCAAATGAAAAGCTTTTTTTTTTAAAATTCAAATGAAAGCTCTTTTATATATGTCATGTTGCAGATGAGCTTGACGTGGCTGCCTGGGCTACAAAATGCACATTACACGCCGCCCTAGAATTGGAGCCAGGCCGACCACGACGAGGTATATCTTCCAATTCAGCAGTTCCAACGAATTCTTTCATTTGATTAATATGACATTTTAGTGTTGGACCTTGGGTTGCCCCACGAAGGACGTAAGTTGTTCGGCCAGTTTTTTCCTTAACTTGGAATGGACCAATAAATGGTTGGTTTTTCTTATTACGTCGGCGTATCAACACTAAATCTCCAACTGCAAACGTTCGGACTTCGAATGCTGGTCCAGCAGCTACTTCACGAAGTTTTTGACGAGCAGTGGATAACGCTTGATGTTTTGACTGATCCGACAAAGCATAGATGTTCGAATCTAAAGGTGCTAGCTGATCAGATGGAAGACTGATGTATTCACCATTGAAAAGAATACTTGGAGGAATGCCAGTAGATTCATGACGCACACTATGATATGCATTTAGAACACTCTGCAATTTTACGTCCCAATCGTTAAGAAAATCAGCAGTACGAATCATATTACGAAAAGTGCGGAAAAATCGTTCAATACTACCATTAGTTTGATGGAGATATGCAACAGCATATTTTATTTCCACATTATTCTCGTCACAGAAATTTTTAAATTCCTGAGATTCAAAAACTGATCCACGATCACACAATAATGATTTAGGACAACCCACTTTCTTCCATGTTGTTTTAAGGAATTGGATTATTTTATGTGACGAAACTGTCTTGGCAGGTGTCGCAATTACGAACTTTGAATACAAATCAATCATGCCCACCAGAAACTTGTTTCCTTTACTGGTCGAACCAATGTCGGCTATATCAATTGACCAATGTTCGCCTACATTGAACGACGAGTAATCTTGACGAGGATGATTGGTTTTTGGCCTGTTGTCGTAATCTTTGCAACGTTGACAAGCATCACAAGCGTTGATGAGGGATTTAACACGATCTCTCATGAAAGGATGATAATAGCGTCGTCGGATGACTTCCATCGTTTTACGTTGACCAACATGCAATAATTCATTATGAACATTACATATGACGACGTTCAATATTTTTGACGGGACGCATAAAGCGGCAAATCCATCATTCATTTTATAGAGGATGCCCCCCTTTTTAATGAATTGATCTGGATTTGATGCCATGCAGTCACGTAAAATGCCATCCTTGTCTTGTTCCAGTTTCCAATCAAAAGTTTCGATTAAACAAATACGGGATAATGCATCGGCAATGACATTGTTGCTGCCATCAATATGATCAATAGTGAAATCATATTCCTGTAACTTTAACGCCATTCGTCCCAATTTGTTCGTTAAATTCCTCTTCGACTGTAACCATATCAATGGTTTGTGGTCAGTCTCAAGAATGAATTTTTTTCCAATCAGATAATAATGCCAGTTTTGTATTGACCACATGATTGCCGTGGCTTCCTTTTCGATTGTGCTATACCGTTTTTGCGTATCGGAAAAGGCTTTCGAAGCGTATTCAATAATACGTTCATCATTATTATCGTCTTTTTGTAGAAGTACAGCACCCATGCCGACTTCGCTGGCGTCACAACGCACTAGGAAAGTCAGGCCAGGTAAAGGAGGCTTAAGTAAATTATCCGATGAAATAATCGATCTCAATTTTTCAAATGCAATGTTGCATTCATCGGACCAAATAAATCGAACGTATTTACGTTTGAGATTTTCCAAAGGAATAGCAATATTACCAAAGTCAGGTACGAATTTACGGTAATAACCTGCCAATCCAAGAAAACTAGCCACCTCTTTACGATTAGTTGGAATCGGGAAATTCTTTAATTTTTCAATTTTGTTATTAGCCGGTTGAATAGAATCAGCGGATAATCTATATCCCAAATATGAGACTTCTTTGCAAAAGAATTTTGATTTATCTCGATTAATCGTAAAGCCATATTTTTCTAATGTCTGAAAAACGGACATTAAATTGTTCATGTGTTGTTTGATGTTTGTTGAAAACACAAGAATATCGTCAAAGTAAACTTTAACGAATGGAAATTGATGAAAAATTTGATCCATAACGCGAAGAAATGTTTTTGGAGCTGTAGATAGACCAAATGGCATTCTTTTAAATTGCCAAAGTTTGTTGTGCCACTCGAAGGCGGTTATTGGTTTATCTTCGGGATTCATTACAATTTGATAATAACCCTTCGCCAAATCAATTTTCGAAAAAATCTTAGCATCGCGAATGTCTTTTATAATTCTATCGATTTGTGGGACCGGGAATGCATCATTCTTTGTACGGTCATTCACGTTCCTGTAATCAATAGCTAATCGAATTGTTCCATCAGGTTTCCGTATTGGCACGATAGGAGATCGCCACTCCGAAAAACTTTCTTCTATGACATCGTATTCTACCAAGGATTTAATGACGTCATCGATTTCGTTTTCAAATGCCAATGGAATTTTATAATTATATGATTGGCATGGCTGAGCATTTTCTTTAAGAACTATTTTGTGATTGATTAAATCACATTTACCCAAACCATTCACCACTTTGCTGAAACGGTTGAACAAAGTTTCAGTTAATGAAGATGCTTCTTCATGCAATACATCGCACGTGTCCGAATAATCTTCATCATCAATAGCACAGATTGAATATATGTATGAAGACATTTTATCACAATTACAAAATTTTATGATAGTTTCGTTGTTTGTTTTGGAAATTATTTCGATAAAATTGTCGAAATCGAATGATACACGCAAATTATTTTTTTGAAAAAAATCAATACCAAGTATCACGTTTTTTTCGTCCAAAACAATGAACTTATGTCGGAAAACGTGGTTGTTTATAGCAAAATCGATAGTGGTTTCGCCCATTACTTTGAGTGGTCGACCACCAACTCCTGCAGGCATAGTAGTGGCTGAGAATTTTTTAATTCGAGATTTTTCCACTAAGTGTGCTGGAATCACAGATACATCTGCGCCCGTATCACACAATGCTTGAGTAACGACTTCTTTGAATGAAATCGGTATGACTTGACATTTTTTTAAAGTAGGTTCATGAATTGACTTAACTTCTGAACCAGATGATGATGATGATGAATCTTTTTTCTTCTTCTCGGATGCCTTGGCTTTAAAACAAGACTCCTTAGTATGGCCAGATAATTTACAAAAATTACAAAATTTTTTCGTTTTTTTATCGGCACTAGCTTTTGAATTAGATGAATTACCAGCTTGAGTTTTAAATCGATCGAATCGCAGATTCGTGATATGTTTTGCGGTTTCCAAACCTTCAGCCGCGTTCACCGCATTTTTGACCGATGTAGGCATATCAGGATTACACAACAAAACTTGAATATCCAAGGGTAAACAATTCAAAAAGAAGAAAAGTTCCAAAGTAGTTTTATTAGAAGCAGCAAATTTTCCAAATGATCGATCCACCAATACGTGAACACGATGAGCTAACTTTGGCAACGATTCATTGGTTTTACGCTTGATGTTTGCTAATTCTTGCCAATTTTTAAGCTTCTTTCCTCTGTTACCAGAGTCAATTTCAGCTTTAATAGCGATAAAGGAATTACGAGATTCGGTCGCCAGATCTTCAATAGTCTCTAACCAGACACAGTCTGTTGGTAAGAGAGCCGGGAACACCCGAGCCATTTTCTCATCATTCCAATTATTAGCAACTGCCACACGTTCGAATTCAGCGATAAAGGTTTCAATCGAAACGGAATCGTTATACTTCGATGGTTTGACCAAAAATTCGCTTGTTGAACTTCTCGTGTTATTCGCTACATTAGACATATTTAATAAATCTTCGATGCTTTGCATTTACCAAGTTTAGTTTTTCGCTACCACCATGTGATGATTTCGTCGCCGAGAGGTGATTAAGGGAACGAAACAGCGTGTTAGATTTAAACAAACAAACACAAAACAAAAGATTGTAGAAAATACTTTATTAATCAAAAACAACACAAGAAAAGAAAAATAACAAAAATGAAACGTGTGTTTAACATTTGACAAATTGCAAATGAAAAGCTTTTTTTTTNTTTTTTTTTTGATTAATAAAAATATGAATAAGTTGAAAATTAGTTGATTTAGTTTGAAGATTGTCATGAAGCAAAAACAATCTAAAATCAAGTTCGATGTTCCGAACTTAAATCTTTGTTCTATTCGAACTTTTGTTCTATTCAATCTTTTGTTCTTAATTGTTCTAAACTATTTTTAAGTCATTCGGTGTCTAGAAGCGAATTATGAATAAACTATTGTATTCATACAAAAAACTATTCACGTGTTTGCTAGATTTTTTGCATGTGTTTTGGTTTTTCCACAGAAGATTGATTTGATATATCCTTTCTACTGTTGTCTACTGTTTTCTACTGTTTCTTCCGTGATGTTGTATATTTAGAATTAAGTAATTCAATTATATTCAGAATAATATAAATATGAGAACTTGAGTTAAATAAAGTTTAGTGTATTTTTGTAACGAATTTTACTCTGCGTAATAGGTTATGGTCCGCAGCCTTTTATACGTTTCTGCTGCTAATTTGTAATTGTTATTAAATTGTAAAATTAAATATGCTTTTGTGGAGATCTTCCCAAGACAGAAGAAAGAATCGATTCTTTTTCTGCAAGACAAGAATATTTTGCCGAAATCAAAAATTTGTTCGAAAGGCCATGAAATGAGATTGGTATATAAGGAAAAGAATTTTTTGCTTGGATATGCAATATGAAAGAGTGGCAATCAACAGATCGGTATACGAAAAGATACGTGGTTCGAGGACATGTAGGTATTATGAATTAGAATTCATAAATTAGATTTGTTTTTAACAATATTTTGGTTTTTACATAAATAGCTCTAACTGAAATATCAACCAAGTTTTATTTATTATTAAAGTTTTGATTTTTATTTATTATTTTTATATTAATTCTAAATTGTTATATTTGGCGAGCCAGAAATGGAATTTTCCGAACTAGAACCTCGAGAAGTTCTCAATAAAAGAAACAATTATATACTTAATTTAGAAACAAAGTTTTCTCTACTTGATTTGATTTTTGCACGTTCGAATTTTATATTCATCTTATTGCTGGTACGAAGAACTCATCTCAATAAAGTTTTGTGAAAAGCAGTTGAAAATTTCCAGACAAAACAGTTATTATTGATTGGAATAATTACTTAAGGGGGAATTGTGTATTTTAGATCTTCAACAAAAAAACCTAAAAAAAATCGGTGGGCATGGATTATTTTGGACAATTATGGAGCCGTTCATCAAATCATCGTTTATCTTGAAATTGAAATTTTTTTTTTAAAATAAAAAAATCAATGTTATTTACGATTAAATTTTTTTGTTTTCTTTATTTATTTTGAAACAAAAATTTGTCAATTCAAATGTTAAAGCGAAACAAAAAAAACACAATAAGTTAACAACGATCAAAAAAAGAAAAAAAGAAAAAAGATCTGGAGGTAAAGGCAGTTTTTTTCGAAAGAATTTTTGTTTTCAAATTATTTTGCTATAAACATAACTAGAATTTTTTTTCAATGGATGGTTTCAATTGATTGATTGATTGATTGGTTGGATGATGAGAAATTGAAAAAAATTGAGAATGATGATTGATTGTAAAACGCACACCAAACACACACAAACACAAAATGAATAAAATTTACCAAACGACGAACACACAATGTCAATGTCGATGTTGATGGTTTTCGAACCTAAAAAAAATTATTCGTTTGTTTGATTTTTTTGACTAAAACGGATGATTTAGGATTTTTTATGATAATGTTTCACCACAAATCGGTGGATTAACCGAACCAAATAGATTGAATTCAATTGCTGAACTAATAATTAAAAATGCAACATATGTACCAAGTAATGAATAACCAAGTGATGGATTTAATGTCCAATGATTATAATGAAATAGATAAATTGTTGCCAATAATGAAAGGAATAATAAAATAACAGCATAAACAAGACCACCACTATTTATACTTGATACGGTACCCGGTTCAATAATTGTTGTTTCAATAAACCATGGTAATGCTAAACCGACTAAAATATCAAAAACATTTGAACCAATTGAATTACTAACGGCCATATCGGCATGTCCCTGTTGTTTTCAAACAACGAAAAATTAATTGATGAAACTAACCAAACAAAAATTACCATTTTAGCAGCATGCATACTAGCATATGCATCAGGTACGGAAGTACCAGCAGCTAAAAATGTAATACCCATAATACTATCAGGTATACCGAATGTCCAACCAATCATTGTTACCATCCAAACCATAATATAGCTAAATATTGCTGTCCATATTATTGATATTAAAAATGTAGCCAAAAACATATTTCTTTTTGTACGACAATCCGGAATTGTGTAATAAAGTACAGCGGCTAATGGTGCTTGTGCAGCCCATTTCAAACATTCAGAAATTCCAACTTCATCTGTTTGGTGTCGAAATAGAAAAAATTCAATTTCAATGAATTTTTGATTTCAAAAATACTTACTTGGATCAGGAATTTTTCGCCAAAAATTTTCATCATCTGGACCAATTCTTGACATACGACGTTGTTGCATTTCTTCATCATCAAGATACAAATTTTGTTGTTGTTGTTTTTGTTTATCTTTAGCTTTTTTTGATCGTATCATTATTAAATGTGCAGCCGAACGAAACCGAGTATTTGGACGAAATAAACGTTTATATTTAATAATTATTTGATTTGCAGCTTCAAATATTGTTGTTTCAGGTTGTCTAACGACAAATGGATTTTTTGGTACGGATGATGTTTGCTGAATATCATCTGTACCATAATCATTTTCTTGAAATGATTTATAATGTACTTGATGTATAGTATTGCCTTTAAGATTATTTAGTTCATTGATACCGGTGGTTGTTCCGGCTGGAATTGGTGATTTATCCAAATCAATTATATTACCAAATCTTGATTGCCATTGTTGAAATACAAGTTCACGTATTTGTATATTATATTTCATAATTAAAATATAAATACCATAAAATAATAATAATGTAAATGATTCGAATGTTGTTACTTCACCATCATAAATGCACTGTGTGTAAATGAATTGAGAAAATAAAATTTTACACAAAAATCAAAAATGACAAAAACTTACCAAAATCAAAAGCAAAACAGTAAATGTATAATAGGATGAATCACGAACAACTGGCCACCAATTCAATTCGGTTGATACTTGAATTTTTTTTGTTGTTTGAAAATTGAATCAAATCAATAAGATATTGAAAATGACAAATAATGACTTACCGGTAAATAATGAACAAAATCCAATGACAAATAATATATTGAAAACAGCAGAACCAACAATAGTACCGGTACCAACATCACCTTTAGCTATGAAAACACCTAAAATTGCTGTAAATAATTCCGGTGCCGATGAACCAGCAGCCATAAATGTAGCACCAGCAACATCTTCGGATAAATTTAAACGTTGTGAACATTGTTCCAATGATGGTAAAAAATAATGATCACAAACAACAGCTAAACAATAAAACATATAACAAACAACAATAATATGTATTAGGATTGCACCACGTGAACGTTGACGATCATTAAATAAATCGGGTGGAAATTCCATATAAGCCGGATTTATACATGTTTTATTTTTTGCATCAATCAATGGTATCAGGGGGTTTTTCGGGCCAATTTTGTGACTAATTGTTTTTCAAAAGAAGAAGTAGTTTTTTTAAAAGTTTTATAAAATCCAAAAATACAACATACGTTTTATTATGTAATGAATGATGTGGATGATCATCATTAATCGAATTATTGCTTTGTTTAATTGTTTTGGCTTGTAAAATATGGCGACTGAAATAAAAATTTGATTTTTCATTTATAAATCTTGATTTACTACCACCACCATCATCGTTATCATTTAGTAATGAGGCACGAATTTTTGTCGAAGATAATGGTGATGGTTTTGATGATGATCGAAGATAAATATTACAACAAGCAACAATAAATATAACTATCACTAGAATACATTTTCGATGTATTCGATGTTTGATTTGTCGATGTTGTTCTCGATGACCATAATCAGAATTTTTATCATCCAAAATATCGATTTTAATTATCGATTCCATCGTTCATCACTTTACGATTATTTACGAAATCGAACGAAAAAAAAATGTTCTTTTTTTCTGGATTCGATAATGAGCCCGAACAGCCAAAAACACCGAAATTTCACTTGGATTTTTCTCTTGTTTCTTGTTTTTCGTGTTTGGTTGCCAAAGACAACAAAACAAAACAGCAGAATAAAAATAACAATAACCTTTTTATTGATTAGCCGGAAAGAAAGAAGAATGAAGAGAATCAAAATGAAATTGTATCCATGGAATTTCACACACAAACACGAATTTAATGTTCCGGTAAGTTTTTTTCGTAATAAGATTCTTTCTTTTTTTAAATTTCAATAAAAAATTATGAGCACAGAATTTTTTTGCCAAGGATTATGTTTCACTTCATTTCATCATAAATAAAGGTAGGTTTTAAAATTTGTTTTTTTTTTGTTGAAAAAAAATAAATAACGTTTGATTTTGAACAAGGGTGAATTTGATTTGATTTGATTGTCAGTTGATTGTCAATTGATTGATTATCATTGTTTGTTTGTTTGTTTGTTTGATTGTCAGATTGAATTGATTAAATCAAAAATTTTCCATTGTTCACATCGTCGTCGTCGTTGTTGTTGTTTGATTGGAGGTGGAAATATTTTTTTTCCTCGGAATCAAAGAACAATAAAAAATTGAAATAGGAAACTGATGACGATATACAAAGTGTGAGAATGGAAGAATCACAAACAAAACAGAAAAAAATTTTGAATTGGAATTTTTTTCTTTTTCTCAAAATTGAATTTTTGAATAATAAGGGTATGTTTGAAGTGAGAGAGAGATGAAGAGAGCAAAGCAAATAAACGAAATGAATTTTTTTTGGTTGATTGTCGGCGAACAAAAAAAAATTGTAAAAGAATTTCGTTTTTCGTTTATTTATTCATCACTGATGTGATCTTGCATTCTGATGACGACAACGATTCAGGATTCAGTATTTTCAAGATTCTATGATTCGATGAGAAACATTTCATGAATTCTGTTTGTTGTTTGGAAATTCTTTTGCTTTCGATCATCTTATTCACGATTCATTGATATTATAAGGGTATTTTTTTTCTTTTCTTTTTCTCATAATGTTTTTTCTATATAGCAAACAAAAAAAAACTTGAATTCTGAATTTTGATTCATTCAAAACAACGACGATGATAATGTCGATGATAACGATGATCATGAAGATAACGAAGATGATGATAATGATGATGAACACGCTAACATTGTTGTTGTTTCAATGTTTCATTTTGTAAAGGCGAAAAAAAATACCCAAAGAAGAAGAAAAAATCAATGAAAAAAAGAATCGTCGCATTATGTTTATATGATGTGTGTGATAATGGGTTATGATGATGATGATGAAGATGAGTTTTTAGAGTTTTTTTCTCACAAAATATACCCTCTCCTCTCTCTATATAAATATTTTCTACAAACAAAACAAAACAAAAAAAAACCCAAACAGGATGAATATGGATCTTGGATTCTGGATGAAAGTTTTTTTAAAAAACAGTTTTTCGTTCTGGTTCTCGACAATTCTGATGCGAAACAACAACAACAACAACGATTCTTTTCTTTCTTTTTTTCCTTGTTTCCCCGTTACTTTAATGATCTCATCGTTACTTTTTCAATGCTACTTCTGCTTTGGCTGGAAAAAAGGCCAGAAAAAAAAGACAATTTTCCCGAAAAAAAATATAACCAATTTTTTGAGTAAAACTATCCTATAGTAAATTTGTTTGCTTCGCTTTCGTTTCGTTTCGTTTTGTGGATCGAATGAAAACGAAACAAGAAGAAAAAAATGCCCGGCAAATGCACACAAACATAGATCCTATCTATCTAATGGAACCTTTAAAGACAGAAAAAAAATGGATCAAAATTTTTCGTTTTTCTGTGTAACATGGTAATGGTGTTATATAATGTATCTTTAGGATATTTTTAGTTAGTGCTATATATTAACCAAAAAAACAAGTTAAAATGAAACACACACAAGGGATTCATTTTCTTTCTCTCTCTTTTCACCCAAATGGATGAATGTTGAATGTCAAACAAAGAATTCATTTCGTTCAGTGTTGAAACAAACATATAGAACACATTGGCTGGTTGGTTATGTGAGATGGCCATAGATCCAAAAATGTTTTTATATATTCATAGCTTGTTCATATTGACTGAAATTGGCTATATTCAATAATCATTGATTCATTCAATCGAATTCATTTCATGCCATATCATCGAAATTCCATGATCCATATTGAATTATAATTGGATTTTTTCGTTTTGCTCGTTTGGATAAAGATGCCCAGAAAAAAACGGAGGGAAAAGACATTATTTTACCCAGGGAAAAAAGCATCAACATCATTAAAATTTAAAAATTTTAAACAAAAATTTAAAATTCAAATTATAAATGATGATTGCCTGGTTGTTGTTTCTGTATAAACAAAATGAAAATGTCATGTTTGTAAATAATTTAATAACCGGGGAAACACACCTTTGAATCATCATCACACAAAAGGGGAAAAACATTGTCAACCGGGAAAATCAGTGGAAAACAGAAAAGCCTAAAAATAGTTCAAAAACAAAATTATTAATGATATGTGTCTTTCCCTCTATATATCCTACCTTCAATTGAATAAACGGGCCTTGAATTTCAAAAAAATTCCATGTAAAAATAGTTATGGAAATGACATTATATAATTTGATTTTTTGATTTTTGATTTTGAATTGCGTTGTGTGAATTCCCAGTGGAGGTTGTTACCCGTGAAATGGTGATTGCCCGTTTTTTGATTTTATCAACATTGACAATTCGCATATGGCCACACAATACAAACAGAGGATGTTTATCCAAGAAACGATTTTTGTTGTTTTTTTTTCTTCTTTTGAACAACCATATCATAAAACGAAAATCTATTGATTTTTTCGAATCATAAAATTTGTTGTTGTTGTTGGGCAGCCAGAAAAACCCAAACAACGATGACCATTTTGAATCGATCGATCGATTGGTGATCATGATGGTGATGATTTGAATTTTAGTTTTGAAAGAAGAAAAAACATTTAAAAAACGATTTTACGAACAAAAACATCGAGAAAACATCGAGATGACGATAACAACGATGAAAATATTAATCATATCGATTTTTATTTGGATCATCAATCTGGAAATGAATGGTAAGCAAACGGAAAAGTAATTTTCTGTAAAACATAAATTTTGAAGTAAAAAAAATTAATCTTTTGATTCAAATTTTTCATTTATATAGAAATGATACCATTTCAACGTTGTGCATTAAATTCTGAATGTTCAACATTTTGTTCTGGTTATGGTTATAATCGTTCGGAATGTAATGTTAAAAAAAATTCAGTATTTCGTATGAATCGTTTTTGTGAATGTTATGAATGTGATTTTGTACTTTGTGCAACATATTGTACAAAAAATAATTTAAAATTTGTTGGTTGTAGTTGTTTTGCATTACCAGCATTAGTTGGTCATTATTCAACATTTAATACACCAAATAATGTTGATATGAATCAATTATTAACAAATGAATGTTATGATAATAAATTTTTATGTCAATGTTCAAAATGATTTTGGAAAATTTCATCATTTCGAAAACAAACAAAAAAGTTTTTTCCGGTTTCATCAAAAAAAAAATCGAACGTTTCGAAAAACATGGAGAACATTATTCGAACACAACCAAAAAAAAATTGCCAGGAAAATTTTTTATCAAAATTTTTATTTCCAGAAAAATTTCTTTTAATTAAAAAAAATTAAATTTTTATAATCCATATAATTAAAAAAATTGTTTGAAAATTTAACAAAAAAAAACTTTAAAATAATAATAATATTGTTGTTAGATTCTTCTTTTAAACGAATCCAATAAAATCGAGTTCGAAGACCCATCACAGGAAATTTTCAAATGGATATAAATCATATTCCATTATCATCACCACCAACAATACCATTATCACCATTAAAAAATGTATTTGTTTGATTTGATGACCAACAATAAAATTCATATTTATTTTTTACTTGACTTGGTAATGTTGATAATAAACGATTACGATTATCCATTGTCATACGATTGAATATAATTGGTGATGGTAAACAAAATGAATCAAACATTTGTGTATCTTTTCTTTCCAAATTTATCATTGAATTGTTGTTATTGACATTGTTCACATTGTTGTTGTTGCTAATCATCATTAATGGATGATTTTCAATTGGATAATGACCAATATTATTGTTGTTGTTGTTGTTTGATGTTATTGATAATGTTGTTGATGTTGTTGTTGGTTCCATATTCAATTGAAATTGATTATTCAACAACATTGATGACGAAGTTGCTGTTGCTGTTATCGTGGATGACGATGACGATTGCGATGATGAAGACGATAATGGATTAAGATCAACAAGTTCAATTCGTTCAGATCGAATGTTGTTATTGTTGTTATTGCTATTGTTATCGATTGAAAATGGTGAAAAACTAACGTTGTTGTTGCACAATCCATTTTGATTCTGTATCGCATCATTCAATGTCCATGATGAAGCGAACGATGATGACAATGTGGCGGCTCCAGCATTCATAATATTCGTTCCATTTCCATTATTAAAAATCATCGATAATGGCTGCTGCTGTTGTTGGGATTGTTGTTGCGATTGTGGTTGTGGTTGTGGATGTTTAGCAATCCAATCCAATACATATGCATCATCACGTAAACGATTCGAAATATCATTATTATTATCAATCGAATGAATAAATGGTGTTTGAAAACGTTTATAACCACCAACACCAATACTGCCACCATTAATGATTGATTGTTGTTGCTGTTGTTGTTGATAATTATGATCATCAGCAATTTGTTCAACTAGATAATGTCCTTCGGGTGTAAATCGAAAATTATTATTCTGATTATTACCCGATGTTGATGTTGATAATCGAACATTTTCATCACCGATACCACTATTACCGATACCATCGATATTTGGATCACCAATAATTATATAATATAAATAACGTATAAGATTATCAACTGATAAACGTTCCAATATATCCCTTTGATTTATTAATGATAATCGAATGAAATTTTTACGTTCAGGTAATAATAATTGTTGTTTCGAAATTGGTTTCGAATATGGCATTATTGGATTCGTTTTTTTTCGGTTCTTCTTCTTCAACAACGATCGTATCGGTAAATGGAACAAATATCGAAACAAAATACTTTTTAGACAAAAAATCAATCCAATTCGATCGAAAATGCAAACCAAACCAAAACGAAATTATTGATAATTGATATTTGATTGAATAATAAAACTAAAAATAGAAAAACGAAAAAAAAGTTAGAAAACGAGGAAAAAAAATTGAAATTAGAAATAAAAAATTATTGTTGTTGTTGTTTTTTCAATTGAAAAAAAAACCAAATGAAAAATCATGTTCTGTATACTTTGGGAATTAAACGTGGAATTTCGTTTTTATAACGAACAAAATCGACGACCGACGACCGAACAGAAGAAAAATCGAATCGAATTTTCGAAAAATCGTTTTCTTTGAATGATAATCCATAGATGGAGTTATTGATGTTTTTTTTTGCGAATGAAAAATTGATAGATGGCGTTGGTAATGTTTTTTTTTTTGAATCTGAATGTGTTCGAATGTTTTTTATTCATTCGATGATGATGATTCAGATTTGATTCGATTCAAAGATCGAAAAAAACTTTTTTTGCCATTTTGCTAAATCATCAATCAGTTCAGCGTTTGAATTTTGGATGATAAGCTTGCTTTTTGATTTCTTCTTGGTAAAATGGAAAAAATTTGCAAACAAATTGATTTCTATTTTTCCGATTTCAATCTTCATCATGATCGTTATTTACGTTCGATGATTGTGGAAAATTCTTGTAAGTATCTTCCTAATATCAATGTTGTTGTTGGAGAAATTTTCTCATTTTTTTAAAATCCAGTAATTCCGGTCGATGTACTATTTGGATTCAATCTGATTCAACAATTATTATCATCGATCGATGATAATGGTGAGGATATTCGCATTGATGATCGATCGATCGAATTGAAAAAGAAAAAAATAATCGAAAAATTCGAACACTATCGATTCGAGAATGTTCGATATATCGTTACCAAACAATCATTCGAACTTTTACAGCCATTTGTTTATGATAAAAATGGTTATTTGAAATCTAAAATCGATTCAATTGTACATTTATCAAGATTATCATCATCAAAGATGACCATATTGTCTATGATCGAATGGATATCATCATTATTCAATGATGATGATAATGGCCAAAATAGTTTCTACGGTATTAATGTTTGTAAACGTAATAAGGATAATCCTAATTTCATTCGAAGTGCATTGATTGGTAAGTTTGTTTGTTTTTTCACAAATTAATCAAATCAAATTTTTTTTCCCCGACATTCACCAACAGTGTTAAAAAATGAAGAATGCGTACGAATTTTGCAGGAAAAAATCAACGAATCTGGTAATAACGTTATTCGTTTGGTTTCATATCGTGATTATCTACGTTATAAAAATAAATCTCGTATGAAACGACGACAACAAAAACGACAAGAAACCATTCGACAGAAATTGGAAAAGATGACAATCACAAAGACTGGTGAAAATATTGAAGAATCGAAAGCAATGAAACCAAAACAAAAACACCAAAGAATACGATTATTAGTTGCACGTCGTACACTTGTGATGACTGGAATTCCTGATCCGATTGCTAAATCTTTGCTATTGCTACAAGATAAAGATAGTGGTGTTGGTATTGGTGGAGATGGTAGATATTCATTCAAACAATATCTACAACCATTAGGTCTTATCTATCTATATCAACCAAAATTGGAAAGAAAATCAACCGAAAACGGCCAAAAAATAACCCAACGTGATTATTATCTTTTTTTCAAAAATCGTACCACAATGCTTCAATTTTATAAACGTTTGACCGAAACAGAAGAAGATCCTATGAATGTTTTTCGTTCGCTATTCATCGCCGCTAACAATAATAATAATAATAATAATGAATTGATGTTGGCGGAAGATCATAAATCATCAATGATAACTGGTAAAAATTTTTCATTAATCAATATGGTCAACGATAATGATAATGATTTACCTCGAAGATTCAAACATTATGTTCGATGTATTCGTCGATTTTTTCAGAATCCTAAATCAATCGAACAATCATCATCAGTCTGATCACACAATCAAAAACAAAAATTTTTGTTTTTTTTTCGTTATTGAAATGTATTTGTTTTTGTTCACTTTTCAAAATCTATATTGTTCAATTTGTTCGATAAAATTTTTATATAAATGAAAAAATTGTATGGCTAATAATCGATGAATATTTGAATTTAAATTCCTCAACGATATATACTGCCAACGATCGGGTAATGTTTTTTGATCATTTTCATTAATAAATTGTTGTTCAATATATAAACGTAATGAACGTAAACAATCATCATCATTATCTCTACGATGAAATGCATCATTTATCGATTGTGAATCAAATTTTTTTGTTAATAATGATAGATATGATGCGGCAATTTCGGCATTTTGATCTTCATCATCATTATCGTTGATAGTGGTCGATTTTGGTTGATTGCGTTTTCGCTTAAAACCAGGAAATGGCCAAAATCGTCGTTTTTTCGCCATTTTATTTCGCTGTTTTCGTTGTCGTTTACCATTAAATTTTACATGCCTTAAATTAACAACATCATTATTACATTGATATTCATTGATAATATCGATTAATGATTGATTTCCCAGATGATTTCGAATATCGATATGATGGTCATGGTGGTCACCATTATCATCAATCAACCGACTGACGATTGGTAATGATCGCAATTTTAACAATTCAAAAAATGTATACAATGATGGTAGAATCGTTGATGATGGTAATTTAGATGATAATCCGGATGAATGTTGTTGTTGTTGTTGTGGATAAAAAATCAATGATTTTTGTTGTAATTGATTGAATATTACTTTGGTTAGATGTTGATAAATTCTGTTTTAAAAATTTAATCAGAAAAAGGGTTAATGGAATTCAAAAAAAAACTTACCGAAAATGAATAGGATTATTACGACGTAATGAAAGCCATGATTCGTGTAATGAATAAATTAAAGGTAAACGAAGACCACGCATGACCGATTCGAATGATTGAAAATTTTTTCCCATAAATAATATAAAGGCAACCTGATTTTTTTTGATGGAAAATCAATAATCAATCGATAAGCGATTAGGAAAATAACATACCTCAATAATTGATGCTATCAATTGTTTTCGTCCTTCAACTGAACGTTCACGAAGTATCCAACAGCCAACCAGTTCAGATAATTCTTCAGAAAATCTGATCATTTGTTTCAAATTCAAATTATTACTTTGAATTTTTCCAAATAAATAATTTAATATTTCACGACGGGTAATACGAAGAAAATTCCGTTGTTCTAATCGGGTTATTCTTCCTGCTAAACGTTTTGGATTTTTTAACTCTTGTTCATTAGCTAATTGTCGACAATCAGTTCTGGATTTTCGATAAAAATTTTCCAATATTCTTTCCGTATCTTCTTGTTCTTGTTCTTTTCCATTCCCAGACTTTTGTCCATCACCATTATCGTCAGCGGATTTAACCGATTGATGTAAATCACGTAAATCTAGCTCCGAACACCAACGACGAAATGGTAATGGATCATATCTTCGGCCAACGCTTGATGATTTTGCATATGGAAATTTTCGTCGATCCATTAGTTCTGGATTTAAACATAAAAATCTTATCGGATCATTAAGAATATTATTCATCGATGTTGATGATTTTTTTGTTGTCGTCGTTGTTGCTGTTGTTGTCCATAACATCAATACACAATCAGCTAATAAATTAATACTTTCCCATGTTGAATGACCACGATAAATATCACTACCATCCATTGGCAATGCAAGTGGAAATAGACATTTATCACGAACATCATTACCAAAACGTTCGATTTTCCGTAGGAAATTTCCCCGGTTCATTGTTTCCATACTGATTATCTCTTTACGTTCATCATCAACAACAAAATTATCATCATGTTCGGCCATCATTTCAACATTATCATCGGTTTCTTCTTGTTGATTTAAAGGACGGCATATTATTGATGATTGGCTGCTACACGTGGAAATAGTGTCATCATCATCATCGGGATTATCAACAACATCGGGATCATTTTGCTCGGTATTTTCATCATCATCACCAAAATCATCAATGGCCGACATTAAGATATTATCCAATTTATTCAATACTTTATCTTCAATTTCATCATCATCGTTGTAATCATCAATAATTGATGAACAGTTTGTATTCAAGCTTAATATCGATTGATTCTAAAGGATTATTAATAATTTGAATATTTTTAACACAGGATTTTTACTCAAACAAAACAAAACAAATCAAAGTACAAACTTACATCACACGTTCGTAATAAATATGATGGATCATCATTTTCAATATCATTATCATTGAAATTCAGTGGATCATTCAAAGACCATGGTAAAGAATTTAAACGATGATGATCATTATGTACATCTGCTTCGATTAACATTGTCGTCAAGTTTTTCGTGGTCGTCGTTGTCGTATGATGATTATCATTGACATTGAAATTATGTTTTGAATTTTGTCTTTGCTGCTGCAGTAGCTGATTTGGTTGTTGTTGTTGAGCCATACAGATTTTCATATTTGTCACCGTGTGCAACCAATCGAATCCAATCAAATCAATCAATATTTTAACGTCATAATTCCAGAATCACCCAAATACATCTGTGTTTTGGCAAAGAGAAATGATGCAAAAATGGTAACGAAAATATTTTATCGCAACCAATAAAATTAATCCTTATTGAGAAATACCAACTTACCAACCAACCAACAAAATTATGATAATCGATACCAATGGCAACTAATCCCCCTCCAAAAAAAAGCCGAATCCTTTAATCGATTGCCAAAAAAGTGTTTTGTCAAGTGTTTTATACCCCCAAACAAAAAAAAGTATTTCCATTTTTCATTCATTTTTTTTTAATTTCCAAAAGCTGGATTAAATACGGCTTTTGTGGATGTCAGATATCATATTGATGGATGATGATGATTGCATTCCAAACGCACCAAAAAACAACAACAAAAACAACAACAATTTCTTTTAAAAAAGTAACAAAAAAGAAACATTTTTATCAACAAAAAACGTGTCTTCAAAAAAAAAATCTATTGATAGTTGATATCGACAACAGATGGCAGCACAGGTATCGGAAAAGGATTTATAATTTAGCTTTTTTCGAAATTCCGGTTCAAAAACTGCAGCATGCTGCACAATGAACAACGTTGTAATTTCTTTTTTTATAAAAATGATAATTTTTATTATTAATTTTTTTTTTAAATATTATTATTATTAAATTTTACAATACAATCATTACATTTAAAATTACAATTAATTTAAAATTACAATTAACAAAAAAATTATAAAAGTTTTTTGTTTTGTTCAAACATTATCATCATTATAATGGTGTTGATTGATTGAACGAAATTTTTTTTGTTTTTGAATTTTTTTGAAATGAAAAACAAAAATCTTGACTTGGTTTTTTGGTAAGTGAAGATTTGTCTAAAAAAAAGAGTAAGCCTCACAGAAAAAGATGAAATGATTTCCAAAAAAAAACCCAAAGATTTTCTTTTTTTTCGATCCGATAATTTCCCAAATCAAATGAACGCCACAAATATATGTTGTATGTGTGTGTGTGTGTGTCAGGTAGTTGTGTGTAAATGTGTTTTTTTCCTTTATTTCCTTTTCTTGTTGTCTGAGTGAGCACGTGTGTTTTCTATTTAATGATTTTTTTTTGTTAATTTAAAAACAATAAGATTATGTCTAAAAATGTGTTGATCTGTTGTATTCAGATTGTTTCAGTGGGTCATTTATTTTGTTTTTTTTATAAAGAAACCCATGTGTTTGTAAAAATCAAATTGATAAAGTTATTTTCACTTTATTTAATTAATGATTATTAAACCAGAATGATAAACGATCAAATGTAGAAAAGATAATATCAAATCTATGTTACCAACATATGTTTGTGTATCTGTATATTTGTAATTTATGTATTTCTATCTTCTATATTATTCTTACATGGGAAAAAACATGTCATGTATAATTACAAACAAAAAAAAATTTACATTACTTCAATATTATTCCACACAAATCAATGCAGAATTTTTCAATCTTTCAATTCTTCATGGAGATAGGCTGCTCTGGTGCTGCGACTGTGTGTTACATACGAATCGAAGAGAATAATCTCAATTATCTTTCAAAAATCAATTACGCACAGAATTTCGTATTCCGGTTTAGGTGATTATGTAAGAAGAATGGCTGAAAATCAAGAAGAATTTGTATATTGTATTGCCTTCTTCATTTGTATGATCACCAAGATTTACATGCATAAAGCGTATCAAGCGATACGATGTCAATATTGTGACCGCATTTGGGAAACCAGATTTTTTATTCATCACTTTCACATGCAATTCCAATTGGCCAGAAATAAAGAATAATCTGTTTTCTGGTCAAGAACCAAGTGATCGTCCAGACCTTATAAGTCGGGTTTTTTTTTTCTTTTAAAATCGAAACAGCTCATAGACCAAATTGTGACTAAGCAACTTTTTTGGCAATTCTTGAACCTCGAACAAATACAGAAGCAAAACTACAATTTGAAAACAAACCAAAATCTGTCGTTATCTTTTTGGATGTCAAAAGCCGCAAATGCAGATAAAGAGGCAGTTGACAAATTGCTTCGAGCTTCTCCATAGTGAATAACCAATTTCACACAAGACACAGGACACATCTATCTTCTTTGCTCACCGGACACGGTCCTACAATAGAGAGTATCTCTTTCGGATCTGGAAAATTGTCCAATGTAATGTGCATTTTGTCGCACAGTCAGTCTATTTTGTAAAAATCCATCCACAATCATGTTCAACACATAATCACACACACAGATTATTCGAACAATTTGCAAACGAAATACACAAAAAATTAAAAAATTTAAATTCATCTTTAATATGAGATCATAAATTCAAAACTTAAAAGTCGTTAAACAAAATTTATTTTCCACCATATAAACTACATTAAAACTAAAACTTGTTACAAAATTTTTTTTTTTCATTATTTTATACTTTTTTTTCTCTCTCAAAAATATTAATAAAATTTTGGAGTCATGCTCCTAAAAAAAAAACACAGATTGTCCACATTTTACAGACATTTAGACACGATCATTTGATAAACTTTGACTTTTTTTTCACTGAAATCATTATCAAATAAACGAAATTAAAAAAAAATAAATTTCGAAAATGTCAATGAGGTGAAATGAAGAAAAACGAATTTTTTGCTTTTTTCTGGTTTTCATTCAGTTATTGTCGTAAAAAGAAAACCTGCATTTTTTTCGAAATTCCAGTGTACACCAACCAACGCATCAATTTACATTCGCGATAATATATTGTCTATCTGGATGCTATTGAATTGTATCAATTTCCAATGATTTTTTATTTTGTGTGCCCATTTCGATTGTTATACAGTTATTACTTTGGATAAATTGAGATCAAAGTTCAACCGCGTGTTAGATGTATGTGATGTGGTTATCATCTCTCCTTTATTACTGGTATTTACAGATGCTTATATACAAAAACTAAACAGTGAAATGATTCACTTTCAAAGTATGTTACACGCGTATTAATGCAACATCATCCGAAAATCAAGCTCAAAATCAAGGCCTTACGCACTGAAACTAATGTTTCACGTAATGTAAATCCGTCTAACAAATTTGTCAACTAAAAATTCTTTGAATTTCGAATAGAAATTGTTTAAAATATGGTGATATATTGGCCAATATTGCTTGTGTTTGTCCAAGTGGCCTCAAGTTTCCTCAACCACAACCAGATTGTATGTACTCTATGAACGGACAAAGGAAACAAAGCATGTTTTCGAACGAAAAATGTTGTTCGATAAAAAGCAACGACATGCTTGTATAAAGTCGGCATTATGTTTGTGATACCTCTTCGAACTTCGAAATTTCGTTTGTCGTTCTTCTGAAATAATCGTCAAGAAATTGAATTTATTATATGCGGCAAACAAAACAAAGTTAAGTTCAGAAATCTGAAAATAACATATTCGAAAATATGTTTTTGGTTTATCATTTGGTGCAAGTGAAAAATTACCAAGGCGAAATCCATGATTGGCAAAAAAAATTTATATTGCATTTCCTAGCCAATAATTCCAGAAAATCTGGAATCAAGCGAAATCTATAATCTTTTAAAACTGTTCATCACATTTATCGCATATAAATGATTATCTTTTGTATAAAAAACAAATAGATTTTATCCGTTAATCGCTTATCTAAATTTCTTTTTGTTTTTCAATTTTTAATTTTGTTTGCACAAATGCTAATTTAGCAGTGTGCCTAAATAAAGTTTATTATTATTACCCGTTAATCGCTTTAATTTAATTCATTTTTTTTTTACAAATATTGAACAACAAAATGCAAGTCAATCATTAAATTTGGTTCCTATGATTATTAAATCGTTTTACCAGAAATTTACCAGAATATGATTACATTGTCTCAAATGTAGCACGCACCGCAGCATGTTTCCTTTTCCTTTTTCCGCCATGTGCTTTCTATAGGATTTGGTACACACATACATGCTATAGTTACATGAACACACTGCATGTCATTCGATTGCTGTATACCCACTCGCACGGTCTTATTAAAATCATTTTTCTCAAATCATTCTGGTGTTTTTCATTTATTAATAAAAAAAGTTGATAGTGTAACAACAAGTTGGTGACCCGTCGTTTTTTGTTGGTCATTATCATCTTTTCTTTATTATCATCATCATTATCATTATCATCGTCATTTCTTTTTAGAAAATGGCAGACGGAAACTCTGAACAATAACAGCAACGACAACCGGAACAGCAACAACAACAAGCTCCTCCTGAAGACTTGTATCTATCAATGTGTCGTACAATGAAGCGATTCGAGCCTAACCTACGAAAAAATAATTTATCGATGGAAAAAATTTCAGAAATGATAAAAGAATTTAAACATCGACCTATATGTTTGATTCAGGAGCCGCCAAATCCATTTGACTGTCATCAAATTTTCAACATGTAGTGAACGTGACTAAACTTATTCATGTTCAACTGTAATTGTAATTTCTTGTTTACTATATAAACTAATTCGTTTGTCAATAAAGCTCAGTTGAGTCTATGTTTCTACATTGGTGACCCGTTCTACACCAACTTCTGAATTTTGTTTGTGTTTTTCTTCCTTGTTTTTCTTTTTCTTCTCTTCGTAAATTCAACGATGTCTGATTTAAAACAATCAACATCTCAACCTCCGTTGTAAAAAATTATAGTTCCATCTTTATCACTTTCTAGATCAATGATTGTTATTTTAAATGATAAAATTAAATTTGATCAAATCGATACAGAATCAAAAGACGTCTGTGCTATTATCGCAAATTTCGGAAATTTTTCTTTTATAATTGTATCAATATATGTTGGTTCTGATTGTATTTTTGACAATTTGATNCACGCTTCCTTGAAACAGCATTACAAACACAGTAAGAATTTCAGGAACGTTGCGTTTTCTTTGGCACGTCTGAACCAGGAGTCCAGTTGTTCATCAAGAAATTCTGGGGTACTTCTAGCCAAGATATACCTTTCGAATCTGCGTTTTGTACAATAAATTAATTAATACTCTGTAGTGAACGTGAATAAACATTCTCATGTTCAACTTAAATTGTGATTAAATTCTGTTTCTATATAAACTCATTTGTTTTTCAATAAAGTCTGTTGAGTCTTTGTCTTCACAACTCTATTTATAATATTTTTTTTTTTTTTTTTTTTGTTAAAACACAAAACATGACAATACACACACACACACACATATTATATTGGATGGACAGCAGTCAATGCCCAAAATATGTTTCTCTTAGGTCATTGTAGCAAGTGTCTGAGCTTCCAGCATCGTACCAATGACTGCTCTCAATCATCTCAAAAAATGCAAAAATTGCTCACTATCTTTCTCAAACACACGTGTAAACAATTAAACATTCGGAATTCTCCCTCCATATCAGAAACTGCGTGAACATCAAAATTATTTGAAGGTATATAAATATCAATTGAAAGAATGTGAAAGAGAATCTAAGCAATTTAGCCAAAAAACGAATTAAATTCATTAATAAATAATATTTTCCTATATTCAGTAAATATTTATTGAATAACAAGTGTGTGTTGCCGGCCTTCGGCCAGCAGCACGCACACTTGCTTCAGCCCGTAGATTTTGGCAGATGAGCGGCTACGCCGCCCATCTCCCAAATCTTTGGCTGAAGTTTTGTTCTTTTGCGATCGATCCAACCATTTATTCACTCGATACAATCAATTATTTGTTTTCTATCCATTTGTTTCGGGTTTCGCCGAAAATCGGTCCAAAAAAATATTGGAAAAAATCGCCAAAGATAGCCACAAATATNCGATTTCGAAAAGCGTTTTCCGTATCATTTTCTATTTCTATTTTTGCTTGTCACAAAAAGTATATAAAAAGGAGCGAATTTCTTTCTATTTTACAAAATGTTATAACATCTATAAAGGTGAAAAAAGATTTATATCATCTTTTGAAAAGACAAAAATGATTCCAACTTGCAATCCACTTGCAATTCTCAATAATTGTAAAGAACACGAAGAAGATTATAGTGGGATGTATCGATCATTACCAGACAACAGAATTGAACATAATAAACCGGACTTTTGATTATATTCATTGATCATTCATAAAACTTACAATATCATCATCATCGATATTGGAATTACAAATTTCTGGCTGATGAAAAAAAAAAAAATTTTTTTGGTGATTTTTCTTTTGTGATAATTCAGTATATCACACACTAGCCAACAGGATATATTCAGAAATAATGGATTTCGAGACATTAATTAATGAACGAACGGTATTACGACAATGGCTAACACCGTAAATCAAACACAGTCAAATAATTGTTTTGGAGAAAAATGATACACAGAAAAGAATTACACAAAAAAGATTCAATGATTATTTATTCAAATTCAATCTGAATCAACCAAAAAATATCTAAAATTGCTTTAAATATTTTAATTCAATTTTCCAACGTTTATCTTTGTGAATTTGGTTTTTCTTCATTAACTAAACATTGAAAAAAGAAGATCGAAATTAGTAAATGTTGAAAGATGCTAATTAGCCAAAAAACGAATTAAATTCATATTATAATTAATAAATAATATTTTCCTATTATTCAATAAATATTATGAATAATTTTATTTTGATTTCAATTTCGATTTTTGTTTCCTATGAAATATTGTATCAAATGATTTGAGATTGTATTGCACCATCTAACAATGGCAGAGCTGCTTCTGCTATTACTGTTGGTGGTGGTGTTGGTGGTGGTGTTGTTGGTGGTGTTGCTGGCACATGAGCGAATACTCGCCAACTTGGTCCTGGTAATGTTGACAAATCAATATCTGCTGGTACGAATATTGTTTCGAGTTTTTTTGGTGTGTTATTCATATATTGACGGTGAAAGAATTCTGGTCCTGGTTGTGCTAGTTGCATTTTTTTGGTGATGATCTTATTATCTGATGATATTTTTGCTAAATTTTGATCGATCTTTGCTGATCTATGTGTAAATTATTCAAATAGTAATTTTAATGATTACAAAGTAGTTATTTTCAACACATACCGAGGTGGTTTAAAAGCAAGAAAACAACTTACTATAATACCTAGAGCAATAAGAATAGCTATAACTGTCGTTAATGTGATATTTATTTTATTCGGTGTCCACCAACATGACCAACTACCATAAGAAAATTCATTACAACCATCTCGAAAACAATCAATAGTATTTTTTTTAGCTGATTGACTAAAATTTTGATTACATTTATTGGCCACTTCTGTTTCGCAATCAAGAGCCGACCATATGAAGCAACAGAATTTTTTTGTTTTGTAAAACTTTTT